CAGACAGAGACTGGGCCACAGGTACCGCTAAATCAGCCAGCCCATTTAGAGACAGAGATAGAAAGCGAGATAGAGAGCGAGACAGAGATGGAGACTGAGGTAGAAAGAGAGGTAGAGGGCAAGGTAGAGAGCGAGACAGAGGTAGAGGCAACAGTTAGCAATACAAGTGTGTTTGAAAATCAGCCAGATTGCACACACTATAGACAGGAGCGCAGGGAGCTCGGTGAGAACATTAGGACACTGGTCCAGATGTTCTCCCAGAAAGACCAGGTCGTTCAAGGGGAGATAAAGCAAAACAGGGGGCCCGGTGAGACCGTTAGAACGCTGGTCCAAACGTTCTTCCAGAAAGACCAGGCCGTTTAAGAGGAGAAACAGCGAGCTGAAGAATTACGAGAGAAAACTCAACGCAAGGACTCAGCTGCAAACTCCAGGTGTAAAAGAATTTAAGTTCATCACTACAGGCGGCACGGTTTCTCAGGAAAGTCCTAGGTTCGAATCCTGTTTGAAACAGGGCTTTTCTGAGAAGAGTTTTCACGTTCTCCGTGTGCATGCGTAGGTTTCCTCCGTGTGGTCCGGTTTCCTCCGGGTGCTCAAGTTTCTCCTACCGCGAAAAACATGGACAAAAGACCCCCTCTCTGAGGGGCCAGGACTTCCCTGAAAAAGAGATGCTGAAGTCTCAGTGGGTCGTTCCTGGTATAATAAATAACTTAAATTTGAGCGTTCCATTTGCTAAGAGTGTCAGCAAATGGAACGCCATGAGGGTTGCCAGGTTGGGTTTGGGTCGTCCACAATAAGCTTTAAGAAGATGCAAATCAGCAGAATGTACTGGAGAGTTTATTCGGCTGTTTGTGCTTCTGGAGCTTTGAGGTGGGCAACACAAACACCTGCAGATGTTGTAGATTCTACACAAAATAGCCTCTCAACACGAGTCTGTGTCTCAGTCCAGACCATGTTGTAGATCAGGGAGGTCCGGCTGGTTCAGAAGGAGGTGTGGCTGAGGTCTAAGTCTGGATCAGTCAGTACATTTAGAGAGACGGCGAGATAGAGACGGCACAATAAGCTTTAAGAAGATGCAAATTAGGGGAATGTACTGGAGAGTTTCTTCGGCTGTTTGTGCTTCTGGAGCTTTGATGTGTGTGTGTAGATTCTACACACACAAAAAAAAGCAACAGCCTCAGTTTGTGTGTTTGACTTTGGATCTTGGATCTGTTCTGGCGTGTGAGCTGTAAGATGGTTCAGATCCGTGTGGTGGATCTAAACTAGAGGTTTAGACAAATGTTGTACTAATGCACTTGTGTTTGACAAACATCTCTGGAGTTCAGCAGATTCCAAATAAAGACAAAAAAAAATGTAAAAAATGACTCAGATTGTTTTTCCTTGTCTATTTTGCAAATGTTTGATCATTAGGTTCTAAATTCTTTCCTTCTCTTCTCTCTCAAGTCTCTCTCCCTCATCTCTCTCTCCCTCATCTCTCTCTGGTCTCTCTCACAGTTATAATGTGCTCAGATTGAGATAAAAACCACTCAAGTCAAGCAATATTTTATGATTTTTTCAAAGTCGCAACGCGCGACAGAGGTGGCGCCGCCGCGCCATAATTTGCTCCCGTAGCCTTAGAACATTGGGCCTCATTCACGAATAACTTCGTAAGAAACTACTCAACTTTCTTCTCAAGTTGTCCTTAAGTAGATTTCTAAGAAGTCCCCACGTGGGATTCATCAACGCACTCGTAAGCCGCTGAATTGTTCGCAGCTGTTCTCTCAGATTGATGAATCCCATTTCCTCGTGAGTACAGCGCGCGTGCCAGGTGCTTCATTAGCATAGGTACTTAGCATAAGTAACCGCCCACTAATGCCCATATAAGGGACTGCAGGGCCGTGTGCAGACGCCAGAGGAAACAGCAACAGGCCTAAAGCAAAGAGTTAAGCTCACCGCACACCGAAACGCAGCGCCTCGCGGCGCGTCATTTGACGCGCGTTCATGACATGTGTCAAATTACACCGGAACGCCTTGGCTAGCGTCCTTTTCCAGCTGATCGCAGATGAAATGGGTGAGTGACGTTTGGAAGTTTCTACTAATATTTTGGGGGAGGAAACAAAGTATTTACGTGAAATTATGCTGGCAAATATTACAAGAAAAGACTATTTGGACCCATTTTTTAAACAGGCTAATAACTAGCTCTGGGTAACGCTGTACTTGGGTTATCAAGCTTTCCTCGTCCATTGTGACCGGTTTACTTGAGCAATAGCGCCGACAAGTGTGTAAATTTGAGACCGCGCTCACAGCTACGTGATAAGAAGCGCAGAAGAAGAAAACTACGGGTGCTTGGAGGGACAGTTTCAGCCGCGGCGCCGCGTCTGGATTCAACAAAACTGAATCGTGACGCCCGGTCCAGCGTCGCCGCGCGTCACTGCAATCTTGGTGTGCGTTCTCTCATAGAAAATAAAGGAGGCGGCTCTTTTGCCGCGCGTCAAGGCGTTTCGGTGTGCGTTGGGCTTTACACGAAGCAAAAGAGTCACCCTTTTTTCTTCTTTTACCAGACTGAGAATAAAGTTATAAAATGTTGACTTAAAAGTCGAAATATTATGATAATAAAGTCGAACTAGCAAAATTATGAGATTAATCTAAGAATATGATGAGATTAATCTCAAAATGTTATGAGCTTAATTTAAAAATATATTATGTATTATTTTAAAGATGAATCTCAAAATGTTTTGAGATTAATCTCAAAATATTTTGGACCCTGGGAGGAGATCCAGCGCGGACCAGCGCTGAGACCAATGCAGACCCGAGGAGAGACTGGAGTGACCAGCACACAGAAACCAGCGCGGACCTATAGGAGAGACCGCATAGACTGGAGTGACCTGACTGGAGAGACCGCATAGACTGTAGTGACCTGACTGGAGAGACCGGTGCGCAGAGACCAGCGCGGACCAAAGAGAGACCGCATAGACCAGACTTGAGAGACCAGCGCGGATCCGTATGGAGAGACCAGTGCAGACCAGTATAGATCCATGGGAGAGACTAGTGCAGACCCGTATATGGGAGAGACCAGTGCAGACCCGTATAGATCCATGGGAGAGACCAGTGCAGACCCGTATATGGGAGAGACCAGTGCAGACCCGTATAGATCCATGGGAGAGACCAGTGCAGACCCGTATATGGGAGACACCAGCGCAGACCCGTATAGATCCATGGGAGAGACCAGCGCAGAGACTCAGCGCGGACCCAGTAACCTCCTGCAGCAGCAGTATATATGCCGTTGTTCTGTGGCCCGTGGATAAAGAAATGCCCCCTATAAATAGGAAGGGGTCACTAATACACGGCAAGATTTCCAATGTATTTGATAAAGCGTTGGCACATTTCATTTCAAAATGAATTAAAAAGTAGGCCAGATCTGCAGTAAAAAAGGCGGTATATAAATAAAGATTACTAATAAAGATTACTACAAATAAATAAATACATACATCGATATGACGGACATATCACTGGAATGTTGTATTTTTATTCAACTTCACCAAAGAGGACAACCCCCGCGTGTGAACATGTCGGCACTGAATGCGTACGAGTGCTCCTGAGGACTCGTAGGATTTGTACTTGCCCAAGAGAAATTCTGGTTACGAGAAATATTCGTGAATGCCACTTTCTTCGTAAAAACCGCGTAAGTAGGATTTACGTACAAATCTGTTCCTAAGAACCGTTCGTGAATGAGGCCCATTGTGTCACAAACAGCCTATGGGCGGAACATTACAACTAAACAAAGGCAATCAATCCATATTCCACCCTTCTGTAAAACTAGTACTGTCAAGGAGGCCTTCAGTTACTGTCAATGATATATTTAATAAGAGGACTTTGATCTGTTGTTGAGGAATTGACAACTTTTTAGAGAACAAACGCATAAGAGCCATTGGTCCATAGGGAGCAGAATGACCACTGTTCAGAAATGTTCATACATCACCCTTCTTAAGCCCTTCTGTATACTCGTGTGGCGCGGAGTTTACGGAGGTAACGTGACGTCACTTGCGCAACGCGTTGGTCACCGCAAGGCCCTTACGTTGCCTGCCGCGCAGCATCGTCATTTTCTAACTACGTAAGGGTCGCCGCATGTCGGAAGCATGAAGTGGCTGCAGCGGGGACATGGACGAGGCACTATGGAGCAGACTGCTTCACGCTTCGAAGGAAAAGCAGTTTGGGCTCAGAGCCTGATATACAGGAGACTGTGGACTATCTAACATATATATAACTTATAAACTGTGCAGTCGTTTGTTTTGCACTGTTCCTGTCTTGTTTGAATCGTAGCTGCGTTTGTTGCTTTCCTCCTGCACTCGTAAATCGTTTATGTTTGTCTCAGATATTTACCACTATTATTGTTTTGCTGTTTGTGCTGAAAACTATTTAATAATAACTATGTTTCCAACAAGAACTGTGTCTTTATTCACAGCATCACAGTTGAAATGACTTATAAAATACTGAATCCATAAAACTATCACATAAACCTACAGTAGGAACACGTGTAATGATCTCAAACAGCTTTGTTTGCTATTGTTGTTCTGAAGAGGACAAAGTAGCAGCGTAAATGGGACCGCTCCTGTGTGATCGCCCTCATGTGGTTTGTTGTGGGATTACAACATTCTCCTCAAAACTCCGTAAGGGGAACGCGCCAGTATAACATCAATTGTGCTTACGTAGGTCCACCGCAACCGCTAACGTAAGCCACGCCGCGCAAGTATACACTAGGCTTTAGACCCTCCTGTATAGGCGTAAAACACCATACAAAGAACACCAGGAAGAAAAGATGTGACAGTAGTTTTCATATAGCTGTAAGTGTATCATGCTTCAAATGTTGAATATTTGGATTGATTAAAATCCCATGAAGAAAAATTGGGTAAGATTTTACTAGTGGAGCCAGAGAGGACTGAAGCTATGGGACTTGTCTGGTTTGGTCTGGGTCCGTGTCAGGTCCTGGGTCTGGTCTGGGTTAGGTCCTGGTTCTGTGGTCTTGGTCAGGGTCTGGGTCTCACCTGGAAGTCCACGTGTCCCCAGCGGTGGGCCATAGAGGACACAGTGATGATGCGGGCGCTGGGACTCTGCTTCAGTTTGTCCAAGAGCAGGTTTGTCAGCAGGAAGTGTCCCAGATGGTTCACTCCAAACTGGACTCCAAAACCGTCTTCTGTGCGGCCGTCTTTAACCAGACCTGAGACCAGAACCACATCAAACTGTTCAACAAAAGCTCGGACAGGCTTGGCTCATTCATTACAATAGGAAAATCACATTAAAATTACCCCATTACTTTGCGTCATTAGGATTCAGACAGGGTTCAGACACTGACAGAGAGGAGATAACCAGGAACAGCAGAGGGGAAGCAGGAAGAATCACTAAACCTAACACATGCAGAGCCAAACATGGAAGCCTAGGAAAATTTGAGAGTGATGAACTCGGTGAGTGTCTCTTACTGAGCAACTGAAGAAAGACTGAAGCTAAAACTTTGATTTAGAGGAAGTCATTGTGATTTAAGAGGAGCAGACTTGTTCAAAAAGCAGATATAAAGACATAATTTGCTATCTGGGGTGGATGTTCGCAATAAAATCACAGATGGACTTAAACCATTCATTCATTTTCTACCCCGTTATTAGTCAATTTCTGGGTCGGGGGGGGGGGGCTTATTATGGATAAATTTAAAAATCTAAGCTGGTTCAAAAGGTCAAACACATTCACTTATACAGCAGGTATGGGGGGGTATAGCCAGATAAGGTATAGTCCTGTTTTAGCTTTGGTTTAGTTTAATTTAAACATCCCTGCATGTAAAGGCCATTTAACTTAGAAAATGCTAATTCTAAGTTAATAATTTTGTTTTGGTAAGCACCTATGCTTTACTTTGTGTGTGTTTGGGTGGGGCCAAGTGAAGTGCAGTTCCTTTTAATGTCAGTAGGGGGAACCACTGAGTGCAATGTGGAAGCTGACCTGGGTTTAGGCCAGTGGGGGCGGGTCCCGGTGTTCTGCCGAGTTGTGCCGCTCTGCCGAGTTGTGACGCTTATGTAATGCTCAGCTGTTAATGATGTAATGCAAACCTGCGCATGCGCGTCTCACGGCAGCCGAAACAAACCAAGATGGCGGACAGAAAGTCCGAGAATTGCTTTAAAAGTTATAATACGAACGAAATAAGACACGAATGTCACTTTTAATGCAATTTGAGGCGAGATGTTGATGGTTCCGCGTTGTCACATGTGGGTTTTAAGAGTCAAAGTTTCGTGTAAAGTTTAGTTTAAGCAGTCAACTCTGCCTGTGAAACTACAATGCTAATGTTATGATAGCAGTCCTCGGCTGCGGACGTGGCCGATGACGCGTCCTGTGGCAACTCTGCAGCTTACAACTGGTCTGAACATGTTGATATGGGATTATTAACGATTGTATTGTAATGTATCCATACCGAATAACAAGATTACACATGTTACATTCGATTAATTTTATATTTTTTATGTAGCTACAGAAACACCATCACATTACATATGAACAGAGGACAGTTTAATTATAAATACACATTTCCAACACTACTAATCCCAATAATTTGTTTAGTATACAACCACATGTCACAAGATTGATAGAGGTATATCTTTCTGTCACACTGTTGTGTTCTGAAATGTTGTTACCTCTGACTTTCCAATATTTTGATTTTAGAACCCTTGTTTGAATAGTAATTAAAAATAAATGCATAGATAACCAGGGACTTTGCACCATAGCCTCAGATGTAGAGCAAAACAAAAATTATGATTCTGAAAAGCACAAGGTAAAACAAAGACCAGAAACCACTGTTGCAACATGGTACATTTTATAAAAATACAATTACTCTGACATGTGTGGCCAACACTTTTTTCTATTGATTACATTTATTACATGCTACCAAAGGCGCTTTTTTGTTGGTGCAATCAAAATGTGTGAAGTCGCCGCACAACACTGCACCTATCCAAAATAAGTAAACTTTAGTCATTCCAGAAACACATGCTGTAGGGTTATAAGAGGAAAATACATTTTCATCTCCACTTAAGTGGAAACAACACACACCACAGTAGTCATCTTCACCTACAAATAAACACAATGTTTCAGTCTCAGTTTTGTTGATTAACCCAGGTATAACATTTCAAAAGTAAGGACGATAATAACCTCCTCGCTGAAGCAGCGTACATGCCACTTCCAGACACGCTGCAGCAATAAATTTGTAGTTTGTGCACACAGCATCCAAATGGCCCTGGAGGAGCCATGCCTCGGCAAACTATATATACAGCTAATAGGACATGTCACTATGCCTTCAAAGAAGAATAAATAATTACAGAATCACCTTTAAAATAAAAATGCCACAACTAGAGGTGTCCATTTGTAGCTGGTGTTTGAGCACACTCCCAGTCCATTGACCACTGCCTCTATTCGCCTGCCTCAGAAACTTCCTAAAGTGAGATGAACAGTTACAAAACAAGTCTCATGATAACTTTTCAGATAGGACAAACCTCCAGTTTTTGAGGATGTTTGTTTTGTAAAGGGCCTCGTTTCCCATGGGGTCAATGAGCAATACTGATTTATCCTCCATGAGGACGACCACTAACACCCAGTGGCCTCCAGTCTTTATGGGGCAGATCCAGTGAGCCTCTTCTGGAAATTTCATCTATAAAAAAGTGGAACCAAAAAGTGTTATTGTCTTTGTAACCATATGGGTATGCAAGGAATATTTGGCCCACGGAAATTGGAACTTCCTTTGTATGTGGTTTCATTTGTCCACGCACAGAGGCTTGTGCCCACAACAGCAGAGAGCTGGGGAACAGGTTTCTGCTGAAACAAGCCAATGTAAAGGACACATGTCACCTCTACTTTGTTCACCAGCACACGTAGATCGGAATCAATGACCTGCATTAGAGAAAATCATAATAATACCCATCAGGTCAGAACTTTGTACAATTACAACCTTGCTCCTCAATGCTGGCTTTTTTTACACATGCGTCATGTGACTGCTGGAGGATGATTATTTAAACAAACTGTTTTATGCAGAAAAACATTTATGGGAACTGAGTGTTAAGATTTAGTAAAGACATGAACATCTGACAATTTAAAAATGTACTTTTTAAATGATAATATGTTTGTGTCTTTCTACTGGCCTTGTTTTGTGGTGAAGGAGCGAACTGAATCACTGAGCCTTGTTGGACACTTTCTTGCCTCTTTATGTTGTGGTTGGTCTTTTTGTCCAATCCATCAGTCTGTGGGTGGTACGCAGCGGTGACGCTTCTCTCAATGCCCAGCAGAGAACACAGAGTAACATTGAGCTGAAACAATGAAAATAAAATGAATAAGAAAGTATGAACAAGAAGTACACAAACAATATTTACTTCATTTACAAATTCCCGCCCTTGATCAGACAGGATACATTTTGGGCACCCCTGTATATTATAAAGCAAAGTCTTTGCCCAACCTCCACAGCCGTCTTAGTTTTTAAATGGGAAAGCCTCTACCTACTTTGAAAAATAATCCGTGGCTGTAAATATGTTCTGATAGCCATCAGTAGTTTTGGGGAAGGGCCCCAACAGCTCCCAAACAGCAGACACCTAACAAGCAAACAGGATTTTGCATTAATGTACACTGCTGGTTGGATAGGAACAATAAATACAATTACTTTTATTGTTTGGAGTGGTGCAACTGAACCCAGAGACTTTCCCTCACGTTGACATTGGTCACACTCATAAATCTTAAAAAGAACAGACAGGGAAGGGAATTGTACAGACAAATCAAAGGAAAAAACATACCATATTGTCAATCATCAGTCCTGCCACGCCAGTAAAACCTGGAACAAATGGCAGGTTTTTTTCACGCCAGTGTGGCCTCCCGTGGGTGTAGCATGAAACTCTTTTACATAGTTTCTGTGCCTCGTGTCTTGTTTTAATGGCTCTTCTTTTGTCATGGAACAGCTCACCATCTATAACAACTGAATTATAATAAAACAACAGAAGAACAATAAGACATGTATAACCATAATAGCAAATGCATGATTACCCTTTGCAGTAAATTTATGGGAGTACTTCCTCAAGTTCTGTCTGTCTGAAATGTATTCATTCCCTCAGGATAAATCTTCTCTGAGGAGAAGAAACATTTCATCCCATTTATCCTCCATTATGATTATGAAAGACAAAATCTTGGTCAGGTGGACGGGCAAGGGTCAAAAAACGGTTTATCAATCAGTGTGGCATACAAATCAGAGGGGAGGAGACAGAGATTGTGGTCAGGTGGAAATGCAGGAGTGAAAAAACAGTATTAATCAAAAGCAGATGTGAAAACGGGGAAGTGGACAAAAATGGGAGGGCAAGAAAGAGGAGCAAGGATGGCTCTGGGGACAAAAAGGGAAGATGTTGTTAAATGACCACCAAATAATAATTAAAAGCTGATCAAACATCCACACAAAAATATCTAATTTAAAAAAGATGGAAATCTCTGACTTTGTATTAATATTGACTTCCTTTCACCATTAGACATCAAGAGATAAGATACTATGGAAGAGGATTAGTGATGAGGCTACATCCATGTGAAACAACACACATAAATGAAACGTAATTTATCTTTTTTACTAGTGTGAGATTTCATAACACTTTTAAGTAACTTTTGTTAAAGTTAAACTCATCATTCTATCAATGTGCAGAAGCCTGTACGTTTCCACTACTTGTTTTGACTATCTCTGCTGTCTCTACCATCGACAATAAAGCATGTCTTCTGTCTGAATGAAAGACGCGATCCCAGACTTTATCATCTTCTTCACGAGTACATAATGTTACCATCTCTCCACGAGCAAATATTAGAAAATCAATACATTTCGGGAGGGATTATGACCGCGTATTCATTCATACGTTACGCGTGTACGTAAAATGTATCCCCATAATGTAATTTTGAACCCAGGAGTATGGTACAAAGTTGAAAAAGTAATATAATATTCTGTATAGGATTTGGTAGAGTCAGTGAGGTCAGTGAAGTCAATGCGCTCGGTTGCAAACTTTATAATACGTTATACTAATACAAATATATGCCCTTTGTAACGGAGAGCCATACTCACGTGAGTTTTCAGCTTCCGTGAAGAGAAAACAAAGCTGCAGAGTTGCCACAGGACGCGTCATCAGCCTGCGTCCGCAGCCGAGGACTGCTATAATAACATTAGCATTGTAGTTTCACAGGCAGAGTTGACTGCTTAAACTAAACTTTACACGAAACTTTGACTCTTAAAACCCACATGTGCTAACACGGAACCATCAACATCTCGCCTCAAATTGCATTAAAAGTGACATTCGTGTCTTATTTCGTTCGTATTATAACTTTTAAAGCAATTCTCGGACTTTCTGTCCGCCATCTTGGTTTGTTTCGGCTGCCGTGAGACGCGCATGCGTAGGTTTGCATTACATCATTAACAGCTGAGCATTACATAAGCGTCACAACTCGGCAGAGCGGCACAACTCGGCAGAACACCTGTTCAAAAGTGGCCAAAATGATATGGCGCTGACATGCTTGCAATACCACCCCGGGCGGATGGGGGTGGACCAAGCCCCAGCGATCCTAGATGGCGCCCTATTGAAATGAATGGTTGTGCTCAGTGGCGTTTTGTGACGGCATGGGGGCTGAAAGATTAGCGGAAGTCGCCTGAAACTCGCAAAGATCTATGGGAAACTCACCTGTATTTGGGCATCGGCTGGTCCTCCCGGTTCTGTGCAGTGGATGATCTCCCACAATGCGTGTGTGGGTCTCACACCGGGTCTCACGCACGTGCACAGAGGGGCTCGGCCGCGCTCTGACCAATCAGAGCAGTTCATCAGAGCGGGAGTTAGAGCGAGAGCCAGATGAGCAGAGTTTGTGGCACTAAAGTGTGGATTTAAACAAAACCGAAGGATTTAAGAAGAAAAAAAGTTCAGGATGACAAGGGACACTAAAATCCCCACAAAATCCGACCTTTATTAAAGCTGTAGGTTCTCTGTCAGCTGAGGTTGAGCTGTTTTAATATGCATTGAGTTCTATGGGGAAAATTTCTGGGTAGCCCACGTGAATTTAGTCTGGTCGAGTCTGCAGTACCACGAGAATCCCCTGAGCACATGAGTTATTCAGCTACAAGCTAGTAATACCCTATCCAGTTAATATAATAGATCCATGGGGTGGACCCGGAATAAGAATAGCCAATGCTAACATATAGCATTGGCAGACCTCTCAAAAACGTCTTTACAGGATGGACCAAAAGCTGGCTCTTGGCCCAAAGCTCCGTTCCACATGTGTGTCAATGCTGCTCTAGTCTGCTGATTCTAGTTTCATGATAAACTTTGAAAGGTCTAATATACAGCAGGATGATGAACTGAGTTGCTAAACATTTAAAAAATGTATTGTTTTGTTAAAGCCATGAGTTAAATGTCGGGAATCTTGGCTTATTCTCTTCTATGTGTTTTTATTTTGTCATGACAACAGTCGCTAGGGAGCTTTTTTCTGGCTCTTGGCTCATACAGCAGTTCTTTGTTCAATCATGCACTAAATATATCTATCTATATTGTTTCTAACATGTTATGAGTGTGTGAGTGTCGTGACCGTGGTGTAAGTAGATTAAACAGTGGGTTGTGTGGTTTAGACACACCACCCTCCATTGTCTAAACTGCTCTCCTCAAACAACAGAGCTCTAATGGATCCAGTTTTCTCCCACATCAGTAAACACAACTTGACAACTTTTTTCTTTTACCATTTGTCTGAACAAATTAACCACATTTAGCCAATTTAGACACAATAAAAGCGAACCGTTTTCTCACCCATTTTTTATATCTCTCTCTGGTCTCTCTAATGGATCTATAATAATATCTGGAAAGGGCATTACAAGCTTATAGCAGTCCCACCCATGCCACTCGTGACTAAGTGAGAAATGTGATCTCTGGTTTGAGTTTGTTTGAGTGCAGTAAATACAGACTTAAACTATGTAACACTGAACACCACTCTGACCTGCTGGATCTCTAAGATGGCTGCCTCCGCCGTGCGCTGGTTCCGACATCCCATAATGACCCGAGCTCCTCTTCGAGCCAAGTTCAGCGTCGTGGATTTTCCAATTCCACTGTTTCTGCCTGAAAACAACCAAAACTGTGATAAACAACATTCTGAGATGTGTTCTAACTTTTGCTGGTCATTTCTCTCCCTTCTCTCTTTACATAAAACTAACAAGTTCTATCGTCGATCCAGAGGGCGTGGCCAAATCTCTCATTACGATTACTGTATCTGACCAGAAGTGTGCAAAATCCACTATTTAGACTTAATATCACTTGGATATACGACTCCGGATACTTGTGAACTGAGGGTTTGAGCCGGTAGATACCAACATTGTAAGCTGATCTGCTCCATACCTTCTAAATGTTGCCATTTTCCACAGAAATTCTTGTAATTTAAATACAATTATAATATATATATATATATATATATATAATATTTGACAAATATATGTTTTGGTGGACACTGTTGACCAATAGGCTGCGTTCATGTGACATCACAATGCTGCAAAGAACCTATAGTTTCACATTATGGTGGAGAGAAGATGAAACCTCACTCCTGGTAACTATGGAAACTAATCTTTGTATCAACCACGTATGAACTATGGTCTCATTACAGTCTCTTACTCTCCGGTCTCTCTCTCAGGCATAAGGTATTGTTTTTAACCCTTTTACTATCCTCATGTCAAATTGACCCAACACAGTGATTAAAAAATATCCTAAATATATATATTTTTAATCTGAATTTTCATGATTTTATACCGTAATTTAGGGTATTTTTATTCAACTTTTAATCAGTGTGGTAGGTCATTTTTGACTCGAAGACAGCTCAAGGGTAAAGCACTTTTTTCCATTATGTGAAAAGTTATTCATAAATAAACTGACATCCTGCGCCTGGAGTCACAGTCTCAGTAAAAGGCCGTCATAAATCCTTCTCTGGAGACAAGAAAAACTAAACAGTTGAGCAGAGAGTTCAAGTCTTCAAACCCTGGAAAAACAATATGTGGATCCAAATTCAGAACACACAAGTTTGGTTTAAAAAGCCTCCAGGGAAAAATTGACAGTTTCGATAATGTTTGTTGAGTTTGTACGCACACTTTCCATGACCGAGGCTCCTGCTCAGGCTCACTGTGTTTGAAATGAAAATGATAATAACAATTCAGTGTAACATGGGTCAATTCACTTGAAAGCCCTGGAACCAAGAACAAAATAGCTGAGTTTTGGACACCACTGAACTAAATGAAAATCAGTGGATAATAGGATTGTCCAATTGAATCAAAGTATTGATCTAGTATGGCCAAGTATATACTTGCATATATTTCTACCGCTATATTATATCCTAGGTTTCTCACTTTTCTGTCACTGTTTTTTATATTTGAGGCAATCCTCTCTGATGCAGGAGGGTCTAAGGATATCGATTATCTGGGACATCTATGGACATTCCTGGACAGTGCTCATCCCGCACCCAATTGCTCCTATGTGTTATCATTGCATGCCCCGTGTTTGATCCGTTTGATTGTCTTGTATGATATTGGTGAATCCACATTTCCTACAGTGCCATGTTGTAATTTAGGGTGGTACACAAACACATTGAATTTAATTGAATAAAATATAATTATCTTTCTGTCATTGGCAAAAGTCCTTTCCATAAATTACTATGACTAGCCGAGCTTTAGCTGTTGTGATTTATATTTCTCACCTGTGATCACCACCGTCTTCTTGGCCATGGGCAGGTTTCCTCTGCAGCGCGAGCGTTTGAACAGCGTTTTGTTGAGGAGCAGATAAACTCCGGCAACCACCACGAAGAGGAGGACGAACTGCAGCATGGTTCAGTCTGGTCCAGGTGCGGAGAGGCCCAGAGGGACTGAGAGAGAGCAGAGGGACTGGGCCAAAGGTCTCGGAGAAAGACAGAGAGCAGACGGACTGAGGCAGAGATCCAGGAGATTGAAAGAGGGCAGAAGGACTGAGGCAGAGGTCCAGGAGAGCGACTGGAGAGAGAGCAGAGGGACTGGGGCAGAGGCTGTGTGTGAGAGAGGAGACCAGGAGGCTGAGGTTGTATGGCGCTGTTAGAAGGAGGTACCCGGTGACTCAGAGCCAGTCCGACCTGCTCTTCCAGAAACGGCCTTGCGTCACTGAGACATGGGGACACACACAGAGAACGCATCATCAGATCTGTGGAATGTAACACAATTTCTGCTGATGTAAGAGAAAGTTAAAAATAATGATCAAAAGCACTGGACACATGCGTCACAATCTAAGCACTTTTGTGTTCACTTGTTTTAGAATGAGACTTAAGTCTTCAAGCTGGAGCACCAGACATTCAATGTAACCATGCACATAAGCCATGTCTTTAGGACTTGCCTCAAACAGTTTGAATCCATCACTAGTTTTAACATGCATCTCTCTGGTCTCCCTCTCTGGTCTCCCTCTCTGGTCTCCCTCTCTGGTCTCCCTCTCTGGTCTCCCTCTCTGGTCTCCCTCTCTGGTCTCCCTCTCTGGTCTCCCTCTCTGGTCTCCCTCTCTGGTCTCCCTCTCTGGTCTCCCTCTCTGGTCTCCCTCTCTGGTCTCCCTCTCTGGTCTCCCTCTCTGGTCTCCCTCTCTGGTCTCCCTCTCTGGTCTCCCTCTCTGGTCTCCCTCTCTGGTCTCCCTCTCTGGTCTCCCTCTCTGGTCTCCCTCTCTGGTCTCCCTCTCTGGTCTCCCTCTCTGGTCTCCCTCTCTGCAACACACATGCAAGTGTTTCTGGCCTCTGTCACATTTTAGATCCGTTTTTTCAGAGATAAAAGTAAAAAAGAGGGAACCACCCTCACTCAGCTCAGGCCAGCGTCTAATAGTGATTCACAAGGCTCTTTCTTACAAGTGTGCAAACGCTACATGGTTAAAACAGAGTTTTGCATCATATTTTTAATCCTCATTCCTTTGATTCTGTTGCAACGTATTGTTAATTATAGTGGATTTGTCATTTTGGAGGGTGAGCATTTAATGCATCCTGTTCTGTATCAGTGGAAGAATTGATATTGTATTTCAATGTAATTTTATCCAAGTTTAGTTCAAGAAGGCTGAAAATGTAACTTACTCAGAGATACATTGTTTCTTTCTTCTACTCAAGAAAAACATCTAAAGCATTCAGTGACAGATATTGCCAAATACTTACGACCTGACCGCAGAGTTTCAGAGGCATAAATATAATTTCAATGTGGACCTTTATCACAATATCTTTTTACAGTATAGTCACCATTTCTCATTCCTACTTGGGATGTCACTACACAGACAGAAGCTGCATTGGTGGACACATGGTGCTGAAGCATTTCAGATTCTCTTTGGTCTCATACTTACTGGACTCGTGGGTAGCGGGGTGTCTGGAGTAGTTACACTGGGAACAACAAAGGAAGGCTCACATACAGGAACTCCAGACCTGGGCGACCAAAGGAACCTCTCAATATAGTTTATAGCATTTACATAATAATAAATAGACGATGATGTGGGACTCTAATCACAATGGAGGGCTTGAAGATGCTTCTTAATCATAGAGCATGTTGTATTTTTTTTTAAATTATATTTGACAAGCAATACAATATATACTAAAATTTGCTGCACCCTGCTCTTAACCCAAATTAGCTCTTTGGATGTGCATGTCTACACACTAGCCCGAGGAGCATAATCCATACCTTTTCCACTTTTGCTGAAATACAAACTATTTATTAACACTGGTCAAGCCGAACTGGACCGACGCCAAAACATGTCCGTACAGTTAAAACAGGAGCACACGTGTAGCTTTATTATTGAAGCTCCACGACGACGTTTAGAAGCATAGTTTAACACCGTTTTGTTAGACGACGACCATGTTCCAGCTACACTTACTGTTTTAGCTAGCATGTGTCCCGTGGTCCCGTGCCGATTCTATCAAAAAAGGGACTGGAATATCCCTTCAAAATAGATTAGTGCATGTTATGTTCTTTACTGGCTAGATTACACGCTGAAACGTCTAAATGTAAGAAAACAGGCGTAAAATGTGAAACTAGTCCAAGTCCACGACGGTCAAATCCTACAGTGATGGTGATTGGCGTTTGCTTTGAGCCAATCTGAGCGGACGATTATATGATGATTTGATTGGTCGCTGTATGTGTCTGTCAGAGGTGATGTGAAAACTGGTCCAATGAAAATGCAGTACGCGTTGCTATGGACGGGCTTTAGTGCTTTATAAAAACCCTGCACAGCCTCTGTCTTGACTCTTGCGCTTACCTTGAAATCCAAGCACACATTATTTTCATCTGGTTTAATTTCTTTCTCCAAACAAAATGAGGGAAATCGTCCATATCCAGGCAGGCCAGTGTGGCAACCAGATCGGTGCCAAGGTCGGTAACCATTTATTCATAGTATTTTTTCTAAGTTATTATTTGAATTTGTTTCTGTGGCCCTTTTGTGCCATAACGTCTTATCCAGACTATTATCTGGAGCAAATACAAAGTTAATGAGCTTAAATGGTGTCGGAAAATGTCCTTTTCTGTAGATGTTTAGCTGTTAGCTGTTTTATAATATCGAGTTTTTGAATAACGGCTGTCTCGCGCCCCTTTGCTTCTGTTAACGTTTCCTCAAATACCGTCATATATCGTCACCATCTGAACCTTATGGACGGTGTGATAATCGGATTACATATTTAGCGATGGTTTAAAACAGTTTTCTGGGTTATTTTACTGTAATAAACGTCGAGGTTTTTCTACTGCTCGGGTTTGAGCGCCAAAGCGGCCGCGCGCTCCTGCTGTCACAGTAAAAGCGCGTGCACAGTTTGAACAGATATTTATTGTTTTTTTTGTCTGTTTGTTTGTTTTTTAGTTCTGGGAGGTGATCAGTGACGAGCACGGCATTGATGCCACTGGGTCTTACAATGGCGACAGTGACCTGCAGCTGGACAGGATCAACGTCTACTACAACGAAGCCACTGGTAAAGTCTGAACCAAATTAGTATAATATATTAGGACTCACTAAAATGTAGGCATTTCGTCACTGTGGTACCCACTGCTCCTGACAGATACTAGTAGTATTCAGGGTCAAATGCAGACGCATATTTCCCTACAGGGACATGGAATTAGGAACAGTTTAGATAAGGTAAACCCACCTGGGAGCGAAATGCCAAGAATGTAGAGTCCCATCCTGCATTTGAAGCGCTGTGATGTAATGCCTGATGTGTCCACAGGGGGCAAATATGTACCTCGTGCTATACTGGTGGATCTGGAGCCTGGGACTATGGACTCTGTGAGGTCTGGGCCGTTTGGCCAAGTGTTCAGGCCTGACAACTTTGTGTTTGGTAAGAGAGGTGTGAAGCATTTGAATGGTCCAATGTGGCGCGTGCAGCTGTAAAGCAGTGGGTATAATTCCAGGTCAAAGCGGAGCGGGAAACAATTGGGCCAAGGGCCACTACACGGAGGGAGCGGAGCTGTCGGATTCGGTTCTGGACGTGGTCCGTAAGGAGGCGGAGAGCTGCGACTGTCTGCAGGGTTTCCAGCTCATTCACTCCCTGGGCGGAGGCACAGGCTCGGGTATGGGCACTCTGCTCATCAGCAAGATCCGCGAAGAATACCCTGACCGCATCATGAACACGTTCAGCGTGGTGCCTTCTCCCAAAGTGTCGGACACGGTGGTGGAGCCGTACAACGCCACTCTGTCAATGCACCAGCTGGTGGAGAACACAGACGAGACCTTCTGCATCGACAACGAGGCTCTGTACGACATCTGCTTCCGGACGCTGAAGCTGACCACGCCCACGTACGGCGACCTGAACCACCTGGTGTCGGCCACCATGAGCGGAGTGACCACCTGCCTGCGCTTCCCCGGCCAGCTGAACGCGGACCTGCGCAAGCTAGCGGTGAACATGGTGCCCTTCCCGCGGCTTCACTTCTTCATGCCCGGCTTCGCTCCTCTGACCAGCAGGGGGAGCCAGCAGTACAGGGCCCTGACGGTCCCCGAGCTGACGCAGCAGATGTTTGACTCCAAGAACATGATGGCGGCGTGCGACCCGCGTCACGGGCGCTACTTGACGGTGGCGGCCATCTTCAGAGGGCGCATGTCCATGAAGGAGGTGGACGAACAGATGCTGAACATTCAGAACAAAAACAGCAGCTACTTTGTGGAGTGGATCCCCAACAACGTGAAGACGGCGGTGTGCGACATTCCTCCTCGAGGTCTGAAGATGTCGGCCACCTTCATCGGAAACAACACGGCCATCCAGGAACTGTTCAAACGCATCTCAGAACAGTTCACCGCCATGTTCCGCAGAAAGGCTTTCCTCCACTGGTACACGGGGGAAGGGATGGACGAGATGGAATTCACCGAAGCGGAGAGCAACATGAACGACCTGGTGTCCGAGTACCAGCAGTACCAAGACGCTACTGCTGAGGAGGAGGGAGAGTTTGATGAGGAGGGGGAGGAGGAGCTGGCCTGAAGAGGGAGGAGAAGAAGAGAGAAAGGAGGAGGAGGTCTGGACTGTTCCAATCGTTTGGGTTAAGACTGTTCCTGGTTTGTTATTGTTTCTTCTTGTTTTTGACTGTTTTCTGCGGTTGAACAGTGACTGCTGCAAACTGTTTTCTTTTATATTTGTTTTAATTAAATAATTAATATTTAATGTGACTTTTTCAATGTTCTGTTAATAAAAAGTCATAAAACAAAGTTGTGACTGGTTGGTTATTTGTATTTTATTTTATTGCAACACTCTGTCCAGCAGATGGCGTCAGCGCTTTACTGAACAAGGATCGAAACTAGAGCTGTTTTGCACTTTTTTAGTTTAATATATATTTTTAATATTTATATTTCATACTGACAGAATAGAACAAAAGAATCGACTAGAGTCAAATTGAAGCGTCGCTAATGGTACCACAAGCATGACTAACTTGGCCTGGTTGTACCCATAGACTATATATTAATGGACAGAGTCACGCCTATCTCCGCCGTTCATAGGAGTTGGCCATGAAAAGCATAGCCATATATAGAATAGACGCCGCATTGGTTGCTCGGGCACGAGAAATACGGCCGCCATCTTGGACCGGTCATCCTACAGCGCGATGCCTGAACACTGCGGCGTATGGCTGTCAAAATAGGCGGACTATTCAAAACAGGGCTCGTGGGATTACTTTTCACAAGTAAGATTTAACATTATTATTGATTGTACTAGTTTGTTAATGGAATATTACTGAATTGTATTTATGTCACCAACGAAATCAGATACAGAACATCTATTGAATAGCAAACAAGCTAACTTACAGCAGCTTTGGTTCATTATCAAAATGCGAGTTTTGTTGAAGAGATGTTCTATATTTGAAGGAGGAAAATGGGAAGAAGTAATTAGGAATAATAGGAATTATGGTAATATATTTTTTGTTGTTGTTGTTTTATTCATATATTTGCATTTTGAAGGTTTCCCAGAGACAGAAATGGTAGGAAGAAGTGGGAAGTGGCTATGAGGAGGGAAGGATTCACTGCAAGTGATTCATCCGTGCTTTGCAGTGAGCATTTTAAGCAGGAAGATTTGGACAGGACAGGTCAGATTATCTGACTCAGAGATGGTGTTGTTCCATCCATCTTCAGCTTCCCGGTTCATCTCCAAAGAGTAGGTTTATCATCATAAGGCTGTCAGTACTAATATATTCTTTTCTATTATATAATATATAAGTTATAATAACATATTACAAATATATATATAATTTCTTTTCAAGTACTATGTTTCTCCATTTTAGCCAGAAAAGGGCAGGACTACGTCTACCTCCTTTCAGGAGGCCCCAAAAGCTGAAACCTCACAACCACAGCCAAATGAAGTGAGTATTAAAAAATGACAATATCAGCTTTGAAAGATGATAACTATAAGAAATAATGTGGGTCATATACTCGGCTTCACCTAACGCGCTTCACCATTCACTTTCAATGCAAACCCGACGCTTTTGACGCACACCGGACTTAACTTCGGCTCCACTGTTTGTAACTAGTATTGGTATAAAATCATGTCTCTGTAAAATATAATAACAACAACAATAATGATACGGCCAGATTTCTTTATTATTATCATTGACCTAAAAAGTTCCACTGAGATCTTAGAATCTTTTTCAGATGAGTCCTGGCCCAGAACCGGAGCACCTGGAGGAAACCTATGCAGACACAAAGAGAACAGGCAAACTGCACTCAAAAAGGCCCTGTTCGAAGGTGGAATCGACACAGAGGCGCACACACACACACACACACACACACACACACAGATACTGGGTCTTAGTCTGAGTATGGTGGTGCTGAACTTTAGAGCCTCCTCCAAACACAGCTTTAGAGCTGCACAGGGGTTACAGCTCCCTCTGCTGGAGGTGAATTCAGACTTGCCCCTGATCTGGTCTCTCTCTGGTCCTAAAAAGGACAGTGGGTCTGAGCTCAGAATAGAAACCCCCCTCTGTGGACTATAAATAGAGCTGATGTCTGATCAGAGTCTTACTACAGTCTTAACTTAAGGCTTAACAGGGGGTCCAGAACCACAGTAACAACAATCATCATCCTCATCATCTTCATCATCATCATCTTCATCATAAATAACTGTTTTCCAGAGTGAGAGTGGAGTGTGTTGCTTCAGGGTCTGACTACAGATTCTGCATCTAGAGACTTCCTCTTTACAAACAGCTCTGGGTCTGATTCTACCACATGATGTTGTAGACACACACACACTTACAGACACACGCACACACAGAGACACACACTTACAGACACACACACACACACACACACTGGGGAATGGTCTTGTCTCAGGACACAACGACAGCCATTTAAAGCTGCCACACAGAGGTCTCCCATCACAGTACTGACCAGGCCCTGTCCTGCTTAGTACTGACAGTTTTATTACTGTATTGTCACCAACACTTCATCCTAGTAGGTCACATGACAAGGGGGGGGGGGTTCCAGTTACACCCACCCCCCCCTCTGGTCTAAATCTGTCCAACTGAGACCAGACCACAGACCAAAGACCTAGACCGAGTCTGGGACCTGAACTGGACCAAATACTGAACCCAGGACTAGGATCTGACCCGGTCCAGACCCTGTTCCTGGTCTCAGATTTAGACGGGGCCTCGGTCCTATCTGGAGTGGGATTGCACAAGCCTCGGACCTGGAATAGTCCTGGTCTATAACTGGATCACTGAGTTCTGCCTTCGGACCTGGACCAGTTTCTGATTTGGATTAAATTTAAGAAGAAAAAGATTAAAGTGAAGCAACCGATGGACTGAAGCCACCACCGCCATGACGGAGACAGTGGAAGGTACAAGACCAGAGACCAGAGAGAGACCAGATAGAGAGCAGAGAGAGACCAGAGAGAGAGCAGAGAGAGACCAGAGAGAGACCAGGGAAAGACCAGAGAGAAACCAGAGAGAGAGATCAGAGAGAGACCAGGGACAGACCAGAGAGAGAGCAGAGAGAGAGACCAGATACCAGAGAGAGACCAGGGAGAGACCAGAGAGAGTGCAGGGACAGACCAGAGACCAGAGAGAGAGACCAGAGAGAGACCAGGGACAGACCAAAGACCAGAGAGAGAGCAGAGAGAGACCAGAGAGAGCAGAGAGAGAGATACCAGGGAGAGACCAGAGAGAAAGATCAGAAAGAGAGCAAAGAGAGACCAGAAAGAGACCAGAGAAAGAGACCAGCGAGAGAGCGACCAAAGACTGAAGTTAACCCACGATTAATTGCACATTTGTCCCCAATTTGAAAAGAGATGAAACAAAAAGAGTGTATTTGTGTCTAATACAGTCTTGTGACGAGGGCGACAGTGGCTCAGTTGGTAGAGCATTGGTCTTTGAACTCTTGGGTTCAATCCCCCACAACCCACCTGCTCCCACTGATGACCCCACTGTGCTTGAATCCCCGCTGAAAGACCAATGTATTGTCAAGGTCCACAGGTGGAAAGCAGCATGGCGCTAAATCTGGTGCAGCCATCTTTTTAATGAAAATTAAACTTTAAACTTAAAAAAGGGTGGCACAGTGGCTGAGTAGATAGCACTCTCGCTTCTCAGCAAGAAGGTCCTGGGTTCGAATCCCGGTCGGAACAAGGCCTTTCTGAGTGGAGTTTGCATGTTCTCCCTGTGTCTGCGTAGGTTTCCTCCGGGTGCTCCGGTTTCCCCTACCACTAAAACATGCACAATAGGTATGAATGTAAATGAGAGAGTGAATGGATGGTGTTGGAGCTGATGGTCCAGTGTGTTCTGGACTCGCTTCTGTCATCACCGTGTGTGGAATGATTGGAACAACATCTGACTCTGAACATTGTGAAGCGCTTTGGGTGAGCTTGGTCTGTAAAATGCGCTATATAAATAAACATTACATTACTTACTTACTACAAAAAGGCTGTGGCTTCGTTAACGGAGCAGCCATCTCCTGTGAACCCACCACCGGCAGCAGGATCAGGAGGGACTGGTGCTGTGAGCACAGACCCAGACATGGAGGGGAGGAAAATGAATAGTCTTCTCACTGTTATTGCTCTTTATAGAGTAAAAAACTACTCAACAGTGACTTGAACTGTCAGATTTCTGTTTCCATCCAGTCAGTGAGATGTTTACAGATGTTTACAAATGTTTACAGCATGTGACATCATAATAACTGTAGCTTCAGTGTTGGGCGATAGTTCTGATCCCGACATTATCCCAACATTATCAGTGCGACAGAAAGCCTAGTAAAACCGAGCACTAGTATAAATGTACCTCCTTTATGTGTTTGTGTGTGTGATCATGTGACATCACTCCCCCACAGTGCGCTCCAGCGGCTCCTCCACCATGGTGATCGAGGGCCGGCCAGCAGAGGGCGCCATCCCCAGGCCCAAGAAGTCCCTGTCAGAGGAGTTCTACTCCACCTTCAGTTCACCGCTGGCCTGGGTCCTGGTGGTGGCGCTGTTGGCCACATGGACCTGCGTGATTGTGCTGCTGCTGGATGGAGCAGGAGGAGAAGCAGGAGGTGAGAGAGAGCTATCTGACTCACAGGGACTGAGAGCTGATTGGCTGAGTGAGGGTGGTCCTTTCTTTAATCTAAAGATGTGACATCACAACTACATGAATTTAATACAGAGTTCTGATGATCTGAAAGTTAAAGAACCCAGCGTTAAAGTCGTGTCCCCCGCTAGTCTATCTTTGGTGTATCTTTTTGGTCTCCCGGTCCCGCTCTGGTCCCTCTCTGGTCTCTTTCTGGTCCCTCTCTGGTCCCTCTCTGGTCCCTCTCTGGTCCCTCTCTGGTCCCTCTCTGGTCTCTCTCTCTAGTCTCTCTCTGGTCTCTCTCTTTGGTCTCGCTCTGGTCTGATTTTAGAGCGCTGACAATGGGACCAAAACATCTCATAACGAGGACCACCCTGCAGCCTAAATCCACATGGACTGGAGGCCACCCACGGTAGTGCAGCCTAAATCCACATGGACTAGAGGCCACCCACGGTAGTGCAGCCTAAATCCACATGGACTAGAGGCCACCCACGGTAGTGCAGCCTAAATCCACATGGACTAGAGGCCACCCACGGTAGTGCAGCCTAAATCCACATGGACTAGAGGCCACCTGCGGTACTGCAGCTCATTGGTCAGAACTCACCCTAACCCTGCACCACAGATACATTTACTAACTCATCGTTGATCATTAATGTAATGTTTAAAGTGTGATAATAAAGAGCTGTGTGCAGGTCATGCTTCAGTTGGAGTCAGAAAGATCCTGAAGGACTCAAGTCGCAGAGGCAAGACTCCAACTCTGAACTACAGATGAGGACGGGACCTTAGAGCTGAGGACAGGACCTTAGAGCTGAGGACAGGACCTTAGAGCTGAGGACGGGACCTTAGAGCTGAGGACGGGACCTTCGAGCTGAGGACGGGACCTTAGAGCTGAGGACGGGACCTTAGAGCTGAGGACGGGACCTTAGAGCTGAGGACGGGACCTTAGAGCTGAGGACGGGACCTTCCAGTTACAGACCCCAGCTTTAAACATGTGTTATTTATGAGACTAAAGTTACAGACCCCAGCTTTAAACATGTGTGAGCTTTAACCTCTCACTGACCTGCAGTGTGTTGCTCATGTGCACAGCGGCGGTGGAGAAACCCTCAGACCCACTCCGATTGGTCAAAGGAGCAGCAGAAGAGTCTTTGAACTTTCTCAATGGCATCATCCGATTGGCTGCCGGCCTGGTTGCCCCTGACGACGATGACGGTAACGAGGACCATACGGAAACAATCGCTGCGCATGAGAACCATACAGACACAACATGAGGACCATACAGACACAGTCATGAGGACCAGGCAGTCATGAGGACCATATGGAGACAGTCATGAGGACCATACGGAGACAGTCATGAGGACCATATGGAGACAGCCGATTGACCTCTTGTCTGTTGCAGGGAACCTGTACGCGGTCCGTAAAAAAGGTGGGTGTGGTGTTAGCATGCTGGTTGATATCAGCTTCACCGCTTTTAAACTAAAATGAGCTCATCGCACAACACTGTTTATTGGACGACAAGTGTAATGTGACCAGCAGCTGTGTGTGTCTGTGTATGTGTTTGTGCGTACATGTATGTATGTTTGTACGTATGTGTGTGTGTGTATATGTGCCTATGTGCGGGTGTTTGTCTCTGTGTATATATGTATATGTGTGTGTGTATATGTACGTATGTGCATATCTGTCTCTGTGTGTGTCTGTATGTGTGTCTCTGCCTCTGTGTGTGTGTGTGTGTCTGTCTGTGTCTGTATGTGTGTTTTTGTTTGTGCGCGTCTGTATGTGTTTGTGTCTGTATGTGTGTTGTGTAGCAGTGAGCTGGTTGGACGAAGAGGAGGCTGTGACGCTGGAGCTCAACTCTTCATCAGGAGGTATCTTCATCTTCATCATCTGTGGCAAACAATAACTTTAATAAATAACTCCTGTATTCGATTGTTTCCCATTAACTTGAACTAAACTCAAAAACAAACGTTTGATAAAGACGATGATGAGATGAAGATGTTTCTAACGGCTGTTTTAACTGCTCTGTCTGTGACTGACCCTGAGGGTGAGGGTGTGCTAGAAGGAGGGGAGGGAGGGGGTCGTAGGGGGAGGCGGTGTGAAGGGGAGGTGAGGGGGGGTTGAGAGGGTGAGGAGGTGAGGGAGAGGGGGTGAGGAGGTGGGAGGGTGAGGGGAGGTGAGGGTGTGTGAGGGTCAGGGTTAGAGTGAGGAGGTGTGGGTCAGGGTTAGTGTGAGGAGGTGAGGGTCAAGGTTAGTGTGAGGAGGTGAGGGTCAGGGTTAGTGTGAGGAGGTGAGGGTCAAGGTTAGTGTGAGGAGGAGTGAGGGTGAGGGGGTGAGGAGGTGAGGGTCAGGGTTAGTGTGAGGAGGTGAGGGTGAGGGGGTGAGGAGGTGAGGGTCAGGGTTAGTGTGAGGAGGTGAGGGTGAGGGGGTGAGGAGGTGAGGGTCAGGGTTAGTGTGAGGAGGTGAGGGTGTGTGAGGTTGTGTGAGGAGGTGAGGGTCAAGGTTAGTGTGAGGAGGTGAGGGTCAGGGTTAGTGTGAGGAGGTGAGGGTCAGGGTTAGTGTGAGGAGGTGAGGGTGAGGGGGTGAGGAGGTGAGGGTCAGGGTTAGTGTGAGGAGGTGAGGGTGAGGGGGTGAGGAGGTGAGGGTCAGGGTTAGTGTGAGGAGGTGAGGGTGAGGGGGTGAGGAGGTGAGGGTCAGGGTTAGTGTGAGGAGGTGAGGGTCAGGGTTAGTGTGAGGAGGTGAGGGTGAGGGGGTGAGGAGGTGAGGGTCAGGGTTAGTGTGAGGAGGTGAGGGTGAGGGGGTGAGGAGGTGAGGGTCAGGGTTAGTGTGAGGAGGTGAGGGTGAGGGGGTGAGGAGGTGAGGGTCAGGGTTAGTGTGAGGAGGTGAGGGTGTGTGAGGTTGTGTGAGGAGGTGAGGGTCAAGGTTAGTGTGAGGAGGTGAGGGTCAGGGTTAGTGTGAGGAGGTGAGGGTCAGGGTTAGTGTGAGGAGGTGAGGGTGAGGGGGTGAGGAGGTGAGGGCGTGTGAGGAGGTGAGGGTCAGGGTTAGAGTAAGGAGGTGTGGGTCCAGGGTTAGTGTGAGGAGGTGAGGGTCAAGGTTAGTGTGAGGAGGTGAGGGTCAGGGTTAGTGTGAGGAGGTGAGGGTCAAGGTTAGTGTGAGGAGGTGAGGGTGAGGGGGTGAGGAGGTGAGGGTCAGGGTTAGTGTGAGGAGGTGAGGGTGAGGGGGTGAGGAGGTGAGGGTCAGGGTTAGTGTGAGGAGGTGAGGGTGAGGGGGTGAGGAGGTGAGGGTCAGGGTTAGTGTGAGGAGGTGAGGGTGTGTGAGGTTGTGTGAGGAGGTGAGGGTCAAGGTTAGTGTGAGGAGGTGAGGGTCAGGGTTAGTGTGAGGAGGTGAGGGTCAGGGTTAGTGTGAGGAGGTGAGGGTGAGGGGGTGAGGAGGTGAGGGTCAGGGTTAGTGTGAGGAGGTGAGGGTGAGGGGGTGAGGAGGTGAGGGTCAGGGTTAGTGTGAGGAGGTGAGGGTTAGTGTGAGGAGGTGAGGGTCAGGGTTAGTGTGAGGAGGTGAGGGTCAGGGTTAGTGTGAGGAGGTGAGGGTCAGGGTTAGTGTGAGGAGGTGAGGGTGTGTGAGGAGGGTGAGGGAGTGTGAGGTTGTGTGAGGAGGTGAGGGTCAAGGTTAGTGTGAGGAGGTGAGGGTCAAGGTTAGTGTGAGGAGGTGAGGGTCAGGGTTAGTGTGAGGAGGTGAGGGCGTGTGAGGTTGTGTGAGGAGGTGAGGGTCAAGGTTAGTGTGAGGAGGTGAGGGTCAGGGTTAGTGTGAGGAGGTGAGGGTCAAGGTTAGTGTGAGGAGGTGAGGGCGTGTGAGGAGGTGAGGGTCAGGGTTAGTGTGAGGAGGTGAGGGTGAGGGGGTGAGGAGGTGAGGGTGAGGGGGTGAGGAGGTGAGGGTGAGGGGGTGAGGAGGTGAGGGTGCAGACCTAAGATATAAACTGTTGCTGAGTTATGTTTGTTTTTGCTGCAGGAGAATTCCTCCCCTCCAGAAACAAAGGTGAGTGTGACCTCCTTCAGACCTTCTTCATACCTCAGACCTCCTTTGGACCTCTTTTTGACATCCTTTAGACCTCAGACCTCCTATAGACCTCCTATAGACCTCCTATAGACCTCCTTTAGACCTCAGACCTCCTATAGACCTCCTATAGACCTCTTTGAGACCTCCTCTCTGTGTGACAGTTGTGGGGATGCAGGCCAAGAAGAAACTCCCTGTGATAGAAGTGGTGGAAGAAGATGATGAAGATCTGGTGCCTGAGGAGGAAGAGGAGGAGCCAGAGGAGGAGGAAGAACCAGGTGAGGAGTCAGGGGAGGAGGAAGAGGAGGAGCCAGAGGAGGAGGAAGAACCAGGTGTGAAGACAGGGGAGGAGCCAGAGGAGAAGGAAGAACCAGGTGAGGATTCAGGGGAGGAGGAAGAGGAGGAGCCAGAGGAGGAGGAAGAACCAGATGAGGAGTCAGGGGAGGAAGAGGAAGAGGAGGAGCCAGAGGTGGAGGAAGAACCAGCTGAGGAGTCAGGGGAGGAGGAGCCAGAGGAGGAGGAAGAACCAGGTGAGGAGTCAGGGGAGGAGGAAGAGGAGGAGCCAGAGGAGGAGGAAGAACCAGATGAGGAGTCAGGGGAGGAGGAAGAGGAGGAGCCAGAGGAGGAGGAAGAACCAGGTGAGGAGCCAGGGGAGGGGAATAGTGCGAGTGAGAACAGAGCAGCCTCACTCCTGATTGGCTCTTGGTTGCTAGGTTGTTGCTATCGAAGAGTTTTCTTGAAGCCTGTGTGAGTCAGCTTCAATTCTCATGGAGCTTTGTGGACTTAAAAAAAAACTTGTTCTGTATTGTTACTGACTCAACTTTCCTTTTACAGCTGAAGTTGAGGAGGAGGAGGAAGAGGAAGAGGAGGAGGAGGAGGAGGAGGAGCTGTCTGAAGAGTACGAGGATTACTACGGTGAGAGACTGGAGAAGAGCTGAGCTGTTTAGAGCCGAGTCTGTCGTCATTTTACTGTTTGTGTTTGGCTTCACAGAGGAAGAAGAGGAGGAGGTGGAGCTAGAGGAGGAGGAGGGGGAGGAAGAGGAGGAGGAGGCTGAGCTAGAGGAGGAAGAGGAGGAGTTAGAGGACGAGGAGGAGGCGGAGTTAGAGGAGGAGGAGGGGGAGGAAGAGGAGGAGGAGGCTGAGTTAGATGAGGAAGAGGGGGAGGAAGAGGAGGAGGAGGCTGAGTTAGATGAGGAAGAGGAGGAGTTAGAGGAGGAGGAGGAGGGTGAGTTAGAGGAGGAAGAGGAGGAGTTAGAGGACGAGGAGGAGGGGGAGGGAGAGGAGGAGTCAGAGGAGGGGGAAGAAGAAGAGGAGGCTGAGCTAGAGGAGGAAGAGGAGGAGTTACAGGAGGAGGAGGGTGAGTTAGAGGAGGAAGAGGAGGAGTTAGAGGAGGAGGAGGGTGAGTTAGAGGAGGAAGAGGAGGAGGAGACGGACGAGGAGGAGGGGGAGGAAGAGGAGGAGTCAGAGGAGGGGGAAGAAGAAGAGGAGGCTGAGCTAGAGGAGGAAGAGGAGGAGGAGGAGGAAGAGGCGGAGTCAGAGGAGCATGAGGAGGAATTAGAGGAGGAGGAAGAGGCAGAGTTAGAGGAGGAGCTAGAGGAGAATGAGGAGGCGGAGGAAGAGGAGTTAGCTGCAGCTGATGAAGACGAGGAGGAGGACGCAGAGGAGACAGGTAACATTCAAGTTTCTGACAATGACTTTAACAATAGATTTAGCTTTAGCAATAGTGTTAGCATTACATTTAGCAATAGTTTTAGCATTACATTTAGCAATAGTTTTAGCATTACATTTAGCAATAGCTTTAGCAATAGCTTTAGCATTACATTTAGCAATAGTTTTAGCATTACATTTAGCAATAGCTTTAGCAATAGCTTTAGCATTACATTTAGCAATAGTTTTAGCATTAGCATTACATTTAGCAATAGCTTTAGCATTAGCATTAGCATTACATTTAGCAATAGCTTTAGCAATAGCTTTAGCAATAGCTTTAGCAATAGCTTTAGAATTACATTTAGCAATAGTTTTAGCATTACATTTAGCAATCGTTTTAGCATTACATTTAGCAATTGCTTTAGCATAACATTTAGCAATAGCTTTAGCTTTACATTTAGCAATAGCTTTAGCATTACATTTAGCAATAGCTTTAGCTTTACATTTAGCAATAGCTTTAGCATTACATTTAGCAATAGCTTTAGCAATAGCTTTAGCATTACATTTAGCAATAAGTTTAGCATTGGCAAATAACTGACACAGGGGGCGCACCAGTCATCTGTGCAATAATGATCAGTGAGTGCAATACTGAGAAATGTGCCTGGACTGAGGACTGAGGACTGGACTGAGGACTGGACTGAGGTCTGAGGACTGGACTGAGGACTGAGGACTGGACTGAGGACTGAGGACTGGACTGAGGACTGGACTGAGGACTGAGGACTGAGGTCTGAGGACTGAGGTCTGAGGACTGAGGTCTGAGGACTGAGGTCTGAGGACTGAGGTCTGAGGACTGGACTGAGGACTGAGGACTGAGGTCTGAGGACTGAGGTCTGAGGACTGAGGACTGAGGACTGGACTGAGGACTGAGGTGTGAGGACTGAGGACTGAGGACTGGACTGAGGACTGGACTGAGGACTGAGGACTGGACTGAGGACTGGACTGAGGACTGAGGACTGAGGACTGGACTGAGGTCTGAGGACTGGACTGAGGACTGAGGACTGGACTGAGGTCTGAGGTCCAGATTCTGCTCCAATAACAGCTGACCATGTTGTAACACAGAGGCTGTTTCAGCAGAGGAGGAAGAGGAAGATGATGATGCAGAGGCTGAGGAGGAAGAAGAGGAGAAAGAGGAGGAGGACACAGAAACAGCTGAGGTCCAAGATCAAGAAGAGGAGGAGGAGGCTGGAGCAGAGGCTGTATCTGAAGAGGAGGATGATGAAGATGAAGAGGAGGAGGAGGCTGGAGCAGAGGCTGTATCTGAAGAGGAGGATGATGAAGATGAAGAGGAGGAGGAGGAGGAGGCTGGAGCAGAGGCTGTATCTGAAGAGGAGGATGATGAAGATGAAGGTGAGGAGGAGGCCACGGTGAAACACATCAGACACTCATATGAAGAAGTCTCAAATTTAAAGTGATTTAAACTGTGAATGCAGATGAAGAGGAGGAAGAGGAGGCTCCAGGAGACGCAGAGGAGGAGGAGACAGGTCATAAAACTCAGACTTTAGACCTCACATTCAAAAGGCTCACATTGCTCTGCTGGTCTCACTCTGGTCTCTCTCTGGTCTCTCTCTGGTCTCTCTCTGGTCTCTCTCTGGTCTCTCTCTGGTCTCACTCTGGTCTCACTCTGGTCTCTCTCTGGTCTCTCTCTGGTCTCTCTCTGGTCTCTCTCTGGTCTCTCTCTGGTCTCTCTCTGGTCTCTCTCTGGTCTCTCTCTGGTCTCACTCTGGTCTCACTCTGGTCTCTCTCTGGTCTCTCTCTGGTCTCTCTCTGGTCTCTCTCTGGTCTCTCTCTGGTCGCTCTCTGGTCGCTCTCTGGTCTCACTCTGGTCTCTCTCTGGTCTCTCTCTGGTCTCTCTCTGGTCGCTCTCTGGTCTCTCTTTGGTCTCACTCTGGTCTCACTCTGGTCTCACTCTGGTCTCACTCTGGTCTCACTCTGGTCTCTGTTGTATGAATTGTGGTACAGTATATAAATTAACTTATTTTTAATGCAGAAGCGGGTGAGGAGTTAGCGGCAGCTGAGGAGGACGATGCAGATGAAGAGGATGAGGAAGAGGAGACAGAAGCAGCTGAAGAAGAGGAGGAGACAGAAACAGCTGATGAAGAGGAGGCTGAAGGAGCAGAGGAGGAGGAGGAAGAGGAGACACAAGGAGCTGATGAAGAGGAGACTGAAGGAGCAGAGGAGGAGGAAGAGGGTGAGGAGACAGAAGCAGCTGATGAAGAGCAGGCTGAAGGAGCAGATAAGGAGGAGGAGACAGAAGCAGCTGATGAAGAGGAGGAGACAGAAGCAGCTGATGAAGAGGAGGCTGAAGGAGCAGAGGAGGGGAGCGATGAAGTTCCTGAGCCTGTGTCCAGTGACGAAGAGGAGGAGCTGACTGATGATGAAGAAGATGAGGAGGACAGTGATGAAGAGGAGGTGTCAGATTCCTCTGTCCTCAGTCAATCAGAGCTCTCCTCCTCTGACGCTGAGGAAGAGGAGGACAGCGAGGGAGAGGAACTGGCTGCTGCTGAAGAGGAGGAAGAGGAGGTAACACACAAACCCAAACCCTGACCCAGACCAGACCAGATCAGAACCAGACCCAAACCCAGACCAGACTAGACCCAAGCAAAATCTTAAATGTATTAGTTCTTTATATTGTTTTGTGTGCATTAGCTTAGCATTAGCTGAGCAATAGCTTAGCTCTTTAATAAATCTCCACTTCATCAAAGACACGCCCGAGTCTGTGACTAAAGCTAATGCTAATGCTAAAGCTGGAGCTAATAGAAAACTCACTTTAGAAAATAAAAAACATACAAATGTAAAAAATACAACTATAACGAGGAGGTAGTATCAGTTTAGTTTAGTTTATTCACAATTCACACAGTCCCTAAAAGTACATGTGTTACATTGTGAAAATGGAACTCCCAGAAGCAGAAGCTTTTACATTAGGGGTCCACCACCACCACCACAGTCACAAACCTACAGTCAAACATACAGTCAAACATACAGTCATCATAATATAAATAATAATAATAATAAAAAAAAAAAACAATAATAATAATAATAATAAAAAGTAAATAGTGCTCCCAGAATACATAAGTAATAATAATAATAATAATGACAATAAAGATAATAATCCTAAATCAATAACAATAATAGATAAATAAAGAATAAGAAATAATAACATCTTCACCACACTTCAAGGAAGTACAGAACACTTAGGCAGGCGAAGCTGCTGAATGCTCATCTCCGCTACCAATAATAATTACATAGTAATGATAAGAATAATATTTAATGTATTCCTAATATGTAGTTGTAAGTGTTTGCAGCTGGAGTTTACTGTAGGGTAACTTCTGCCAGCCCTGAGATCATGGCTGTGAAAGAGAGATCTACCTCTCGCCTCAAACAGATACAAAATAGAGAGTGGTTCAAGACTCTTAGTGCTTCAACGCTTTCATCCAGTCACATACTTCCCCAGTAGATGAGCCTTCAGTTCCCTCTTACATTTGGATAATGTGGCACATTGCTTTAGGTTACTATCCAACTCATTCCATCAGTATCAGTGCTGGACAGGCGGTGGCGCTGTTTTCAAACTCGCATGAGTTGGCGTTAGCTTAGCATTGGCTCTGAGAATAAAGGATTATGTCATCCATAGGAGGAAGAGGCTGTTGAAGAGGAGGAGGTGGAGGAAGAGGTGGAGGAGGAGGAAGAGGCTCCGGCTGCTGTTGAGGAGGTGGAGGAAGAGGAGGAGGTGCTGAGGATCACAGAGACGGATGAAGAGCTGGAGGACGTTCTCATTATGGAAACTGAAGCTGTGGATTTGTCAGAAGAGGAAGAAACAGGTATGAAGACCATACAAACTGAATGAGAGAGCTACTAGGGCTGTCTCACGGTGACAGAGAGCTAACAGAGCTGTCTCACTGTGACAGAGAGCTAACAGAGCTGTCTCACTGTGACAGAGAGCTAACAGAGCTGTCTCACTGTGACAGAGAGCTAACATAGCTGTCTCACTGTGACAGAGAGCTAACAGAGCTGTCTCACTGTGACAGAGAGCTAACAGAGCTGTCTCACTGTGACAGAGAGCTAACACAGCTGTCTCACTGTGACAGAGAGCTAACAGAGCTGTCTCACTGTGACAGAGAGCTAACAGAGCTGTCTCACTGTGACAGAGAGCTACTAGAGCTGTCTCACTGTGACAGAGAGCTAACAGAGCTGTCTCACTGTGACAGAGAGCTAACAGAGCTGTCTCACTGTGACAGAGAGCTACTAGAGCTGTCTCACTGTGACAGAGAGCTAACAGAGCTGTCTCACTGTGACAGAGAGCTAACAGAGCTGTCTTACTGTGACAGAGAGCTAACAGAGCTGTCTCACTGTCACAGAGAGCTACTAGAGCTGTCTCACTGTGACAGAGAGCTAACAGAGCTGTCTCACTGTGACAGAGAGCTAACAGAGCTGTCTCACTGTGACAGAGAGCTAACAGAGCTGTCTCACTGTGACAGAGAGCTAACAGAGCTGTCTCACTGTGACAGAGAGCTAACAGAGCTGTCTCACTGTGACAGAGAGCTAACAGAACTGTCTCAATGTGACAGAGAGCTAACAGAGCTGTCTCACTGTGACAGAGAGCTAACAGAGCTGTCTCACTGTGACAGAGAGCTAACAGAGCTGTCTTACTGTGACAGAGAGCTAACAGAGCTGTCTCACTGTCACAGAGAGCTACTAGAGCTGTCTCACTGTGACAGAGAGCTAACAGAGCTGTCTCACTGTGACAGAGAGCTAACAGAGCTGTCTCACTGTGACAGAGAGCTAACAGAGCTGTCTCACTGTGACAGAGAGCTAACAGAGCTGTCTCACTGTGACAGAGAGCTAACAGAGCTGTCTCACTGTGACAGAGAGCTAACAGAACTGTCTCAATGTGACAGAGAGCTAACAGAGCTGTCTCACTGTGACAGAGAGCTAACAGAGCTGTCTCACTGTGACAGAGAGCTAACAGAGCTGTCTCACTGTGACAGAGAGCTAACAGAGCTGTCTCACTGTGACAGAGAGCTACTAGAGCTGTCTCACTGTGACAGAGAGCTAACAGAGCTGTCTCACTGTGACAGAGAGCTAACAGAGCTGTCTCACTGTGACAGAGAGCTAACAGAGCTGTCTTACAGAGGACACAGAGGAGGAGTCTGTCGAATCCTCAGAGTTATTCGCCGACAATGAAGACGACGAAGAAGAAGAGGCTGTCGGCCTGTTTGAATCGGAAGATGATGCAGAGGAGGAGGAGGAGGATCAGGAGGAGGAGCTGAAGGAGGAGGAGGATCAGGAGGAGGAGGAGGAGCTGGAGGAGGATCAGGAGGAGGAGCTGGCCTCAGTTGAATCCACAGACAGCGGTGTTTTAGGAGACGATGAGGAGGAAGAGTCTGCATCCTCTTCCTCAGCGTCACTGGACTCAGAGGACAGCAGCTCAGTGATCCTGGACACAGGTGATGTCACAGTCTCATGAATTACACTTGTTTAAAGCTGGGGTCTGTAACTTTAGTCTCAACACATGTTTAAAGCATAGACTGTAAATATTAACGGAAGTAGTCACGCCTATCTCCGCCGTTCTAACTCATGTGCCACAACTTCAGCGGTCTGTGGGCAGTTTCAAAATGGCCGCGGGGGCTGGAAAATGTACAAAAAGGCATCTGCGCATGAGTCAGCTGCACGAGCCCCATTCATTTAAACAAGTGCCTTCATTTCACAGCGACTAAACTAGACTGGTCCATAAACATTCACATAAACATGCAGCATTGACACACATGTGGAACCGAGCTTTGGGCCAAGAGCCGACTTCTGGACCATCCCGTTTTCGAGAGGTCTGCTAATGCTATATGTTAGCATTGGCTAATTCTTATTCCGGGTCCACCCCCATTGGCCCGGGGTGGTATTGCTAGCATGTCAGAGCACGTCAATTTGACCACTTTTGAGCCGGGACCCGCCCACACTGGTTTAAAGATGGGGTCTGTAACTTTAGCCTCATTAATAACATATGTTTAAAGCTGGGGTCTGTAACTTTAATGTTATCTTTAGCTGAGATTATAATCTGTCAAATAGATACAGAGGATTCTGAAGTAACGTCTGTGGAGAGCAGCAGTGGAGACGCAGAGGACGATGAAGAGGAAGCAGGTGAGGAAGACAGTGGTCGCCATGGAAACCCAACAGAGGTCACACCCTTGCATCGGTCTGAGGAGGAGTTTTATGTTCTACAGGTGAAGAGGATGATGAAGAGGAAGAAAAGTCAGATTCCCTGCTGTCCTCAGACTCCTCCGCAGGGGGCGCTGTGCAGCCTGAGCCCTCCTGTTCATGTGAGGATAAAGAGGCCGAACCAGGTGAGAGACCAGGACCAGGACCAGGACCAGGACCTGATCTGTGACATCACATATAACAGCGCCCTATGTGTTTGTGCAGAGGTGGTGCGCAGAGTTTCAGCCATCAGATCCAGGAGAAAAGGTGATCTTCATCTTCATCATTATAATCATCTTCATCAACTGTTCTAATCATTTTAATGTTTTATTTCAGAACGAGACGTGACGCAGAGCAAAGCAGCTGACAAACCCAAACGATCTGGTGAGACACCCCTCATTTACATATGCTAATGCTATGCTAATGATTATGATAAAGCTATAGTTAATATATGCTAACATCAACTTTGTGGGAATATGGAAACGGTTAATGTCCAAAAAAACGTGACGCTTATTGGCACACGCAAGCGGCATCTAAAGGCCCCCCTCCAAAACGTCGCAATCACAACTATTAACGCAAAATCAAGAAAAATCTGAAAAATCAATGCGACCTTGCAACTTATTCTGAACTCAACAACTTTTCTGCAACTTTACAGAAACAAATGAGTAGTATGTGGCAGAGTGACGGAGTCCGTGCCCGCAGCTCGTTCGCGCGCCTCCAAACTCTCCTCCTTCCGCGTACGTGAGCTGACCGGTCAAACAGAGCTTATCTTGTTGACAAAATTTCATCTTGCTTTATGTCAATAAAGCATGTCTTTTTTGGTAAATTATCTTGTTTACTTTATTTAAGCATTTATTTGCGAAATGTAACTTAATTGTTTGGAAAGTATGGTTTACAGGGGCGGAAATTGGAACTTGTCAGTGGAACTTTTGGAAAAATGTCCTTCAAATTCAAGTATTTTAGCAACAATCACAATAATTGCCCGCAAAATCCTGGAGGAACTGTTTAGATGTGGTGTAGGAGCCATATCTATTGGTTCATGGGTATGGTTGCTATGGCAATGTGTCAGGGGGCGTGGGTCACATGGGCATGGGTGTTGTGCCGGGAGTTTTGAAAGGCACTCGCTTCCTGCTCAGTGAGAGGGAGAGGGGAGAAGCCGGGTAGCTGTATTTTTCGTTGACCGCGCACTTTTGGTCCATATTCTTTTGTTTTCTGTTTTAATCATATGCACTGTAAGTTTGTGTAAGCTCTCAGTCGTGCACTGTAACAATCATAAACCGCAGATACAATTAAATCCACGAAACGCATTACGTGCCTCCAGCGTGTTCTTTACAATCGGCAGCGCGTCATCCATTATACTGGACCCGCACTCTTATCTCCAGAAGCGACATAGGTTTGGGTCGCTACATGTGGAGTGAGTTTGAACCTATTGGTGAAAGGCTGAGGCTGGGTTGTGAAAAGTGCGAGGTGTACATTTTTTGTTTTGATTTGTCATTGCCATGGCAACACAAAAATAAATCATGGTGACTTTCTGGTTGCTGTAAGTGGGAGAATATTTGGAATAGTCAATCTATATATTCATGCTATAGCTGCACTGCGTGACATTAGCGACAGGGGGCACTCCTAAGGTTTAACACTTGTGTAGAAGTGTGAGTGACAGCTCAGATCTGTCTCTGTGAGATGATGATGATGATGATGATGTGATGGTCACAGGTCTTCCCCGGATCACTCTGGAACCGGTCCGGACCCGCAGGATCCCGGCCTTCGCCAAAGGTTTCTCTCAAACTCATTTTCAGATCTGACCTCAGTTCTATTAATAACAGCAACAATAATATGAATAATGTGTTTTCAGCAGTGAGAAGAGCGAAGGCCAAAGCCGCCAGAGCAGGTGCGACACAGACCAACGGAACTCTCTGTTTAAGAGCCAGAACTAGAGATATGGGATCTCTAGTTCTGGCTCTAAAACAGTTGCTTCTATCACTAGTTTCATGAAACTAGTTACAGACTCCATCTTTAAACATGTGTTCTTATAAGATTAAAGTTAGAGACTTTAACCGAAACCTGTTTGTGCCACAGCTGCGTCAGAGGCGGAGCCAAAAGAGGAGGCCACGCCCCCACAGGATGGTATGTGGACCAGAATTAGTCCTAACGAGGTCCCAGTCCTCAAACCTGGGTGAGTCCTGTTCCATTCAGTGTAATAAACACTACTGTCTCATGTGTCGACAGGTGGCGCCCCCTGCAGGCCAGCCCCAGTGTACTACCCCACCCCCCCAGGGTGGTACGGTGAGTCAGGCGCTCTCCTGGTCTCTCTCTGGTCTGTCTCTTTCTCAGGTCTCTTTCTGATCCTGGAAACATGGAAAGCTGATGCGGGTCCAAAGAAGACAAGAGCCTTTCACCAACCTGCACCTCATAATGAAGACCAGCCGTGTTATTGATCTGTGAGATTCTAAAAAGGCTTTTCTAAATCTTTTTCAGTGCATCACATTGTCACGGATACCCCGTTCCCCCCACCCCTACCCTCTGGTGAGTTTATCTCCTGATGACAATAGCTCCTGTGACACTAGCTCCTGATGACAGCTCTATTCTCCTCAGCTCCTGCGGCTCCTGTACTTACGGCTCACCCGTACCCGCCCCTCTACCCCCCCATTTACCAGTACCAGCCGTATGCCCCTCCTCCCATGGCTCAAGCCACGCCCCCTGCGCCTGAAGCCACACCTCCTGCACCTGAAGCCACGCCTCCTGCACCTGAAGCCACACCACCTACAGCTGAAGCTCATCCGACTGCCCCAGAGGCCACACCCCCTGCTGGTCACACGGTGGAACTTCCTCCAGCCTCAGTAGAGGAAGGTAAATCTGCAAAGAAAACCACCCTCTGGTCTCTTTCGCTGGTCTCTCTCTGATCCTGAATACTTGAAATGCTGACGCGGGTCTAAAGAACGCGAGTCTTTCACACAATACCATGGGATGTGAGGACCATCTATTTTCTTCCTCAGCAGAGACAGCACCACCTGCAGGAAAAGCACAGGAACTGAAGGAGAAGGAGGAGGAACAACAGGAGGAGGAACCACAGGAAGAGCAGCAGGAGGAGGAGGAGCAGCAGGAAGAAGAGGAGAAGCAGGAGGAGGAGCAGCAGGAGCAGGAGGAGGACATTGCTGTGGTCCAGGGTGAGGCCAGTGTTAATATTTGAGGAAAGTTTCAGGTAGATGCAAGTTCACATGTGTCCAGCAGGGGGGGACCAAGCTGGAGTTTCCCCCCTGAATGAAGGCCTAATTGTGGGTTAGCATTGAGCTAGCAGGATAGCCATGAGCTAGCAGGATAGCCATGAGCTAGCGGGTTAGCATTGTCCATCTGTCTATGTTAAAGACTTCGATCCTCAACCTGCTCTTGTGTTCTTCCAACAGTCTGACAGCTCTCATTATGAGGTTAATATTTGATTTGATTTTTCATGAAGACGAGGATGAAGATGAGGAGGAGCAGCAGGAGGATGAAGAGGATGAGAAGGATCAGGAGGAGGAGCCAGAGTCATCCAAACCCCCAGGTCTGACACAAATTCAGAATAATAAATATGTTTAAATATAGATCCCTCATGATGTCACTTTTACAGAGAAGAAGAAAACGGCTGCAGACAAAGGTACGCCTCCCACTGAGCTGAAATCTCACTCCCCCCGGCTTTAGGGAACTCTTTAGGGAAGTCCATGTCATGTTATTATTGTGTTTGTTTTGCAGATGAAAAACAGAAGAAACAGAAACAGCCTGCAGCAAAAACAGGTTAAAAAAATCAACAATGTTATATCTCTGCTTCTCTGGGTCTGTAGAGAACTTTACTGCTTCCAACTGCTGTAGCACTTTAGACTGCTGTAGCACTTTAGACTGTTGTAGCACTTTAGACTGTTGTAGCACTTTAGACTGTTGTAGCACTTTAGACTGCTGTAGCACTTTAGACTGTTGTAGCACTTTAGACTGCTGTAGCACTTTAGACTGCTGTAGCACTTTAGACTGCTGTAGCACTTTAGACTTCTGTAGCACTTTAGACTGTTGTAGCACTTTAGACTGTTGTAGCACTTTAGACTGTTGTAGCACTTTAGACTGTTGTAGCACTTTAGACTGCTGTAGCACTTTAGACTGCTGTAGCACTTTAGACTGTTGTAGCACTTTAGACTGTTGTAGCACTTTAGACTGCTGTAGCACTTTAGACTGTTGTAGCACTTTAGACTGTTGTAGCACTTTAGACTGTTGTAGCACTTTAGACTGTTGTAGCACTTTAGACTGTTGTAGCACTTTAGACTGTTGTAGCACTTTAGACTGCTGTAGCACTTTAGACTGTTGTAGCACTTTAGACTGTTGTAGCACTTTAGACTGTTGTAGCACTTTAGACTGCTGTAGCACTTTAGACTGCTGTAGCACTTTAGACTGTTGTAGCACTTTAGACTGCTGTAGCACTTTAGACTGTTGTAGCACTTTAGACTGCTGTAGCACTTTAGACTGCTGTAGCACTTTAGACTGCTGTAGCACTTTAGACTGTTGTAGCACTTTAGACTGCTGTAGCACTTTAGACTGTTGTAGCACTTTAGACTGTTGTAGCACTTTAGACTGCTGTAGCACTTTAGACTGTTGTAGCACTTTAGACTGCTGTAGCACTTTAGACTGTTGTAGCACTTTAGACATGTGCCACTGTGCAGTGCGGTGCAATATGAAGCAGTGTAAATAACTGTGCAATATACTCAGACTGATTGAAACCTTGATGAAACCCAAACTAATGTTGAGTTTTCTGTTTCCATTCAGATTCTGAGAATAAAAAACGAACCTCAGAAAAAACAGGTACAGTGCGGCAAAAAAGTATTTAGTCAGCCAACAATTGTGCAAGAGGGAGGCCTGTAATTTTCATCATAGGTAAACTCCAAACTATGTCTCTCAAAGTTGAGGAAATTATCACTTCATTTTTGTATTCATTAGGAAAATTCGATCCATATCCATGCAGTGCAAAGGAATATACGTCCTTTTGAAGAATACGTAGCGCTGGTTTGTACTGTCGTGTAATTTTATTTTGGATCGAATGTTCATAAAACACTGAAAATAATTTATTTCGGGACCAGATTGTGACCAATCACAGCGGACCACTGGCCCCCACTTTCTTGAGAGTTTCTACAAGTCTCTTGTTAGCACACACAGACAGCTGAGGTAGACGAGCATCATGGCGGAGGCAAACCTGAAACTTCCTGTGTCTTCGTTACCGGTTACTGCTTAGACAGCGAAACAGCCACCCAAAGGAAAGTCACTACATGAACAGAGAGAGGCCAAGCGTTTGAAGGACGGGGAGAGAGGCACCGGGAAGTGGACAGGACTACTGTGGCATTGGGGCATGCAATCAAATGGAGAACAAAAAATACCTGCGACATTTCCATTTGTTTTGGGCCAAAACAAGAGACGTATCCAGCTCCGTAAACAACAGTACATGAGCACGTGCTTGAGTGGGAGGGGGGTAGTGGAGGTAGTGGAGGGGGGATAGCTTTGTGAATGTGGGGAGGGAGCAGAAAGAGTGAGGGCAGCGCTTACATTTGAAACTGCTGCTTCTAAGTCAAAAAGTGAGTTAGTCCAGCTTTAAGTGGGGGAACTTGTACAATTGGTGGCTGACTAAATACTTTTTAGTACCCACTGTGTGTGACCACCCCCTCACCTTTCTGTCAGAACGATGTGTTCTCAAACTCGTTACTCTCTGACCAACCTCATGTTTCTGTTTCAGTGAAGAATAAACCCAGAGCCGCATCTCGCAAACGTGAGTCTGAAGAGAATCTTTAAATGATTTCACTGATGAGTTTTCAACATGTTTTTAACCTGTGTTCAGCTCTGGAGCCCATTCGACTGAAGCCACTCAGGAGCGACAGCGGCAACTCCTCCCAGGCCACGGGTGAGAGCTGTGTCAGCACACTTCAGCACACATTGGTTCGCTTCAGCTCTGTTTGGTCTGAGTTTTTCTTCTTCTGTTTTCAGAAAAAGATTCATTGTCACCGCAGAGACGCTCAGGTCAGACTCCATCAGGATTCTGTTTATGTTTGTGATTCTTACTGTGTTTTTACAGATGAAGCAGCGCCACCTGCAGGCGACAAGAAGAAGACAGGTGAGACATATGGTCTGGTCCAGTCTGCTCCACATGAGTCTGATTGTGCTCACATTATTTTCTGTTTCAGGTCAGAAGTTTTTCCAGTGCGTCTTTGTTCCTGGAAAAGGCGGGAACTTCTCCCCACGACCTATGACCCCGGCCATGCCCGTGATGATGTCACCAGCTTTCAGGGCCGCAATGGAGCAGAGGCGTGAGAGTGAGAAAGATAGAGGAGCAGGACGACAATAGACAATCTGTGAGAGAGAGGAGCAACAATAAACAATCTGTAAGAGAGAGAGAGGAACGACAATAGACAATCTGTGAGAGAAAGGAGCATCTCTCACACTCTTTGGACTCCTGCAGTGTCCGCTTCTGTCCTCTGGGCAGAGTGGTCTGACAGGACCGAGCAGAGCGTCTGCTCCACACACGATCTGTGACAAAGACAGTCTGTGGGACAGAGGTCTCACTCTGAACACTGAACTCTCAAACATGAGATGATTTCTTTATTCAGAGGTTGTGCAATAAGGAGTGGAGGCTTACAGAATGTACGTCTACATCTCTGATTGGTCAGGGGAGGAGCCCTGTGCACTGATTGGTCAAGGGAGGAGCCCTGTGTTCCGATTAGTTGGGGGGTGGAGCCCTGTTCTCTGATTGGTCAGAGGGTTAAACTTGAACATGTGTTTTTGAACAGCAGTATTTGAACAGTACTGTGTGTACTTTCCTGAAGGACATTAACAGTAGAAGCTGTGGTACCTGTTGTGCAGCTGTGGTACCTGTTGTGCAGCTGTGGTACCTGTGTTCTGTCCAAATGTTAGCTTCATTATTCTGATGTACAGTGTGTTTGATGCTTGATCTCCTGCTGTTCTGTGGAAGTGTGTTTGTGAAGTGTTCTATATAAATAAAGTAGATTTGGGTTAATGGGCGACAGTGGCTCAGTTGGTAGAGCATTCACCTTTGGTCCTAAAGGCTGTGGGTTTGAGCCCACCACGAGACCTACTTCACGACTCCCACTGCACAGATGACTGCTGTCGTTATGTCCTTGGGCAAGACACTTAACCCTACTTTGCCTGAAGCCCCCACTGGAAGATCAAGCTCCTGTGGACTCAGCCCCTGCAGGAGGATCAGTGATTCCCCCCCCGACCCAGAAATGGATTAAGGGGAAGAAAATGGATGGATGGATTTACAACTGCCACCACCCAACGTGACCGCTGACCCCAGGAGTTGTTCAAACACAGGATTCCACCATGAGAACTGGCAACACAGAGGCTGATCTCTGATTGGCTCAGCAGACGTCTACTATAACTCTTGTGCTACTACCATAGACTGTAAATACTAAGATGTAGTGACACCCATTCATTCATTCATTCATTTTCAACCCCTTTATTAGTCCATTTCTGGGTCGGGAGCTGCCACCCAATGCTCATAGCACCAGTCCCTCGCTGATCCTCGGCAGGTGGAGGGTCCACGGGAAGATGGCTTCTTGATGCATCCTTGTTCTTTCAGCAGGGGCTTCAGGCAACGTGGGGTTATGGTTCATGCCCAAGGGCACAGTAGGCATTGTGACGCCCATTTCCTGTTGAAATGTGTGTGCAACAGACGAGGGTAGACAAGGGTGCATATGGTCCCTCCCTCCGCAAAATGTCAAAAACTGGACTTTTAAAGTGAATTCAAAAGTCCAGTGGCTAAAAAAGTCACTTTAGTTTCACTTTGTGTTTTGTGCTTGAGTGAGTCATGTGACTAAGGTCTGGAATAAAAACAATATCCTCAGAGCTCTTTGGTCCAAAGTGGTTGTGACAAACATGGAGAAACAATCTGTAAATATAGATTCAAACACACAGCACTTGTGTAAGTTACAGATTGTCTCTTATTATTGAAGTTACATTTGTAAATTTTTCTAATTCCTCATAACTCTACATTCACTCATATTGACTCTTAACACACATGAACAAATATTACATGTTCAACGTAATAGTTATAGGCTTCACATAATAATCAGAGCTAAACCTGACCAGTACTTTGTTTCTATTACAAACTACTGGAAACATTAACATTAGCAGTTAGCTTCCTCTGCGGCCATCGTGCAGAAAACTTTCAAAAACACTCAAAAGTTTCACAAAACATTTCAACTTTATTATAACCTGTTACAACAAAACCACGAAGCTTAAGGCTTTTATGTGTGGTGTTTCAAACCAAATTCTGACCTGTAAGTAAAGGTAGTGTCTCAATGATCCATGAGCAGCTTCATGTTCCTCCTGTCTCTGGGGTCATGGTCAATGCGGCCCCTTTTATAACTGAGAATGACAACAGTTCCACCTGTTGATATTTCCTTTTATTCACAGTATTTACTAGAGGTGGCCATGGATCTATAATAATATCTAGACAGGGTATTACTAGCTTGTAGCTGTCCCACCAACGGGCACAGGGGGCGCCCGTGGTACTGCAGACTAAATTCACGGGCTGTCCATGGACTGTCCCATAGAACTCAATGTAAACAAACAGCTGGACCTCAGCCGACAGAACATACAGCTTTCATAAAAGGTTGGATTTTGTGTGGATGTTAGTGTCCCTTGTTGTCCTGAAATTTTTTTCTTGTTAAATCCTTTGTTTTTTTCTATAAATCTTCATCAACTCTGCTGGTTTTCTTCCCGCTCTAACTCCATTCTAGCTTCGCTCTGATTGGTCAAAGCACAGCTGAGCCCCTCTGTGCGCGTACATGAGAATTACCCAATGCATTTATATGGCGTCTTTCTTCTGGAAAACTGCTTCACAGGATGGTCCAAATGTCGACTCTTGGCCCAACGCTATGTTCCAGATGCTCTGAATGCTGAAGGGAGTATTCTTTTTGAACCAGTCTAGTTTATCTGCTAAGAAGATTACAATGCACTTGTTAAATGAACAGGGCTAGTGCCGGCTTATGCATGCGCAATTGCGTTTTTTCCAAGTGCCCCACGGCCATTTTGAAAAAGCCCATAGAAGCCAAAAGTGGTGGAACGTTAGTCACACCTATCTCCGCACTTGAGACTAAGTCCGTTAATATTTACAGTCGACGGTATTTACGCAGGACTACATCTAATAAATGTAAAATAATTATGCCTTTAATTACAAGGGTATATTTGCACAAATTAAAGTGTAAATAAACTAAATACTCTGTTGATTGCTGTAATGGCACAGGGAGCCTGTCTATGCTATTGCTATGGCATTGTGGTGAGTTGTAGTGAAGTCTTTTAGTAATTAGATCGATACATTCAGCCGTGAGACTGACCCAAAAGTGTCAACATGCTTTCTGAGGTATAGCTTTGACTGTGGCCACTCAGAGAGATTAGTTACCTTTATAAAAGCCCAATGACGGGACAATCAAAGGGTACTGCTGTGTCCCAAAAATGCCCAGTATCCTCACAGTTTAATTCCTGTTTGAGCATTATTTGGAAAACTAGTGAAACTCAAGCTGATTCCCGCACACCAAGCCCATACCAAATGTCACACGCATGAGGACGCACCCAAATATCAACGCACATAGTCACGCCTATCTCCACCGTTGAAACTAATGTGGCATCAGTTTCACCATCCAAGGGCAGTTTCAAAATGGTCACAGGGGCAGGAAAATGTGAAGAAACGTATCTGCGCATGCGTCAGCTGCATGAGCACCATTCATTAAGCAAGTGCATTCTGAAGTCCACTGCAACCAAACTAGACTGGTCCACAAAAATACACTCCCCTCAGCATTGACACACATGTAGAACGGAGCTTTGGGCCAAGAGCCGACTTTTGTACCATCCTGTAAAGACGTTTTCGAGAGAAAAGATGATGCCATACTTTAGCATTGGCTAACTCTTATTCCAGGTTCACCCCCATCGGCCCGGGGTGATATTGCAGCATGTCAGCGCACTTTGGACATTTGGACATTTTTGAGCCGGGACCCGCCCCCACTGGGACACATATATATCTTAAAAACAGAACAACTGGCCTCAAAGCCTGGTTGTTAGGTAGCAGCTGCCTAGCAACCACAGAGCCAATCAAGAGTGAGGCTGTTAGATTTCAGGGACAGAAGGTTCCCAATTGGTCAGTCAATAGGAGCCAAACTTCACTATGAGCACTTCCCTATTGGGCTTAATTGAGCTAGCGGTTAGCATTGTCCCCAGTCTATGGTCTTGGTTCAGACCTGGTGTTCAGACCTGGTTCAGACCAGTCCCCGTACAGTCCTTGTACCCCCGTTGATCCACGTTGAGGACCGCACAGACCTGGTCCACCTTACAGCGGCCCTCACAGCGGGCCCCAGGGCTGTAGGCTGCAGTGAAGTGGTTGAAGTAGGTCTGGAAGGTTCTGGACTCGGGTGGAACCAGACTCTGACCTAGACCCAGCAGAGAGTCCGGACTTAGGTCCTTCAGTCCAAAGGCTTCAGTCATCACATACTCGAGCCGCCACAGCGCCCTCTGCTGGACGTTTGCTTCAGTGAGGTTCAGGAAGAACTGCCACAGGTCCTGAGGAGAGAGACAGGGTTCATACCAGGACCAGGACCGGGGCTGAGACTAGAACAAGGGCCACGGCCAATGCTCTCACCTGGATCTGGTAGAACTGATCAAACAGATAAACTCGAAACGTGGGATTGTTGGAAAACTTTTCATTGACGTTTCTGATGGGAGTCACCGCTGGAGACACGAACGCAGAGGACAGCGCCGCCCCTGTGGTCAGAGCACAGCAGGTCAGAGAGTCACTAGAGTCAGGGACTGCAGATGGATACTAGCTGTTTCGCTATAATCCGGCACAGAACACATCTGTCTTTGAGATTAATGTCTCTGTACATCCCTTCAAATAAAGACTAAACAAAAAAAACATTTGACTTTTTGAGCTGAGAGCGTGGGTGGTCCTCTCAGTTTCCCTTTTCTGTCCGAAAACTCTGATCTAAAGATGTGACAGAGACCAGAAATACATGATGTGAAGACCAGGACCCAGAGAAAACAAGTGATGCTTTAGAGCCAGATACTAGTTGGTCTGGTCTGAAAGTCTGGTCCCCAAGCTTTAATGTCAAGTCCCCTAGCTTCAAAGTCACCGCAGCTCACAGTTCAGATCTGGTTCTCTGACACAGGTGGTGCTTGTGATGCCCAGTAGGGGGCGTGGTCTCACCTGTGTGGTCCCTCATCACCATGACGCTGTCCCGGTGGGTGTGGCCATAGAACTGTCCTCTGATCACATGACTGAAGCGCAGGAAGATGGCCGTCAGCCGCTCATTATGCTCAGACTTCATCGCTGTCACGTTCCGAGCATAGGGCAGGAAGCCAACCGGAACATGGGCGATGATATACACCTGAGAGGGCCAATCAGAGAGCAGCATGAGCCTCTCTGGTCTCACTCTCCCCCCTCTGGTCTCTCCGTTCCTTGTACACTGACCTTCTCCTGGTTCTTCTCAGCGCTCCCTAGAGTCCTCTCTAACCAGGTGAACTGTCCGGCAGGGTCAGAGCTGGTGACTTGATGGTTTGGACCGTAGTACAGGATGGTGTTGAGGGAGATGATCCTCAGACCAGGATGGACCAGCTGGGAGTAGAACCCTCCTAAAGAAGAGGGGGGGTTATCACACTGCACTTTTTCTTCTGCTGCAGAACATCAGACACAAACCTGTGAGCAGCGAGTCTAGCGCCTCCTGCTGGAGCCAGGGCGCCCAGAGGCGAGCAGCGGCTGCATACAGAGCATTCGGCCGGTCTGGCATCTGGTCCTGAAGAGAACAGCACAGTCTGGTCTGAACCAGAGCTGAACCAGGACTGAACCAGGACTGAACAAAAGACCTGGTCCAGTGCCGGTTGAGTCTAGTTGGGACTGGTTCTCACCTGGGGCCAGTAGTCATGGTTACCAACGGCAGGGAACACAGTGACGTTGGGCAGAGCGAGTCTCACTGTCGACGTCACGTTTGACAGAATCTCAACCACGAGATCAAAGGACAGATCTGAGGGCGGGACGTGGGGGGGGCTGTCGCTATGGAGACCAGAGACACATGAGGGGGGCTGTGTGTGTGTGCGTGCGTGTGCGTGTGTACCATAGACTGTATATATTAACGGACAGAGTCACGCCTATCTCTGCTGTTCTAACTAATGGGCCAAAAAATGTGCTCTACTGGAGCAATCCAAAATGGCCGCGAGTGGTCCCGCCCACAAGAAAATTGTGAAAAAACGCATCTGCGCATGCGTCAGCCGGCGCAACTCCATTCATTTGAACAAGAGACTTAAAAAATTCACAGCAAGTAAACTAGAGTGGACCAAAAAAATCCACCCCCTCAGCAGTGACACACATGTGGAACGGAGCTTTGGGCCAAGAGCCAACTTTTGGTCCATCCTGTAAAGACGTTTTTGAGAGGTCTGCTAATGCTATATGTTAGCATTGACTAATTCTACTTCTGGGTCCACCCCCATCAGCCCGGGGTGGTATTGCAGCATGTCAGCGCACGTCATTTTGGCCACTTTTGAGCTGGGACCCTCCCCCACTGGTGTGTACACATGCGTAGTAGGGCTGTGCGATATGGAGAAACATCTCTATATTTTTTACATCAATATACAATATTTTAACAAGATAAATAACCCTCCAAAAACTACAGCAAATACAAACATGGCCATTTCCAAAGTGTTTTATTTTATTGAACCTCAAAGCGGGAGTCAGTTCAAGGAGGAGTGCTTCCGTCACATTTGTTTTAGCTTCCTGTTATTGAAGAGATTATACATATTGCCTTTTCTCCATTGAAAAATAAAACGACTCAACTCAATGTGCATAAAGGAATGTGCTTCTGCAACATTCATTACATTAATAAATGGTAACAAGGTCCATTCAGCCGCTCTCTCCGTAGTGTACAGTCACGAGAGTGGCAAGTGCATTACAGAGAAGGCAAACAAGCAAAGCAAAAGTAAAATAGAGCCAATATCTCAGTGTGAAAAAACTCACCATCAAAGTTACTTTCACGATATTATTACCTATGATAATTATCGCCCACCCCTAATGTGTAGATGTGCGTGTGTTACCCAGTCCAGATCACATAGTCCCCCTCCTGCACCATGGTTCCCAGTGTCTTCAGTGCTTCCTGGATCAGCCTGTAGGGGGCGTCACACAGATAATCCCCATAGACTCCAGGTGCCACCGCCGCAGCGCCTTTAGACGAGGCGCACACGTGGGCGGGGTCAGAGGTCACATGGTACGAGGGGTCGAGGTGGAGGTCAGTGATGTGCCACATGCGTCCTGAAACACAACACTCTGTGCTGAAGCTGTCTCTGAGGACTCAGAGAGACAGGGCCTCTGGTCTCTCACTCCCTCTCTGGTCTCTCACTCACTCTCTGGTCTCTCACTCCCTCTCTGGTCTCTCACTCCCTCTCTGGTCTCTCACTCCCTCTCTGGTCTCTCACTCCCTCTCTGGTCTCTCACTCCCTCTCTGGTCTCTCACTCCCTCTCTGGTCTCTCACTCCCTCTCTGGTCTCTCACTCCCTCTCTGGTCTCTCACTCCCTCTCTGGTCTCTCACTCCCTCTCTGGTCTCTCACTCCCTCTCTGGTCTCTCACTCCCTCTCTGGTCTCTCACCCCCTCTCTGGTCTCTCACCCCCTCTCTGGTCTCTCACCCCCTCTCTGGTCTCTCACCCCCTCTCTGGTCTCTCACCCCCTCTCTGGTCTCTCACTCCCTCTCTGGTCTCTCACTCCCTCTCTGGTCTCTCACTCCCTCTCTGGTCTCTCACTCCCTCTCTGGTCTCTCACTCATTCTCTGGTCTCTCACTCCCTCTCTGGTCTCTTCCTCCCTCTCTGGTCTCTTCCTCCCTCTCTGGTCTCTCACTCCCTCTCTGGTCTCTCACTCCCTCTCTGGTCTCTCACTCCCTCTCTGGTCTCTCACTCACTCTCTCTGGTCTCTCACTCCTCTCTGGTCTCTCACTCCCTCTCTGGTCTCTCACTCCCTCTCTGGTCTCTCACTCCCTCTCTGGTCTCTCACTCCCTCTCTGGTCTCTCACTCCCTCTCTGGTCTCTCACTCCCTCTCTGGTCTCTCACTCCCTCTCTGGTCTCTCACTCCCTCTCTGGTCTCTCACTCCCTCTCTGGTCTCTCACCCCCTCTCTGGTCTCTCACCCCCTCTCTGGTCTCTCACCCCCTCTCTGGTCTCTCACCCCCTCTCTGGTCTCTCACCCCCTCTCTGGTCTCTCACTCCCTCTCTGGTCTCTCACTCCCTCTCTGGTCTCTCACTCCCTCTCTGGTCTCTCACTCCCCTCTGGTCTCTCACTCCCTCTCTGGTCTCTCACTCCCTCTCTGGTCTCTCACTCATTCTCTGGTCTCTCACTCCCTCTCTGGTCTCTTCCTCCCTCTCTGGTCTCTTCCTCCCTCTCTGGTCTCTCACTCCCTCTCTGGTCTCTCACTCCCTCTCTGGTCTCTCACTCCCTCTCTGGTCTCTCACTCCCTCTCTGGTCTCTCACTCCCTCTCTGGTCTCTCACTCACTCTCTGGTCTCTCACTCACTCTCTGGTCTCTCACTCACTCTCTGGTCTCTCACTCCCTCTCTGGTCTCTCACTCCCTCTCTGGTCTCTCACTCCCTCTCTGGTCTCTCACTCCCTCTCTGGTCTCTCACTCCCTCTCTGGTCTCTCACTCCCTCTCTGGTCTCTCACTCCCTCTCTGGTCTCTCACTCCCTCTCTGGTCTCTCACTCCCTCTCTGGTCTCTCACTCCCTCTCTGGTCTCTCACTCCCTCTCTGGTCTCTCACCCCCTCTCTGGTCTCTCACCCCCTCTCTGGTCTCTCACCCCCTCTCTGGTCTCTCACCCCCTCTCTGGTCTCTCTCACCCCCTCTCTGGTCTCTCACTCCCTCTCTGGTCTCTCACTCCCTCTCTGGTCTCTCACTCCCTCTCTGGTCTCTCACTCCCTCTCTGGTCTCTCACTCATTCTCTGGTCTCTCACTCCCTCTCTGGTCTCTTCCTCCCTCTCTGGTCTCTTCCTCCCTCTCTGGTCTCTCACTCCCTCTCTGGTCTCTCACTCCCTCTCTGGTCTCTCACTCCCTCTCTGGTCTCTCACTCCCTCTCTGGTCTCTCACTCCCTCTCTGGTCTCTCACTCCCTCTCTGGTCTCTCACTCCCTCTCTGGTCTCTCACTCCCTCTCTGGTCTCTCACTCCCTCTCTGGTCTCTCACTCCCTCTCTGGTCTCTCACTCCCTCTCTGGTCTCTCACTCCCTCTCTGGTCTCTCACTCCCTCTCTGGTCTCTCACCCCCTCTCTGGTCTCTCACCCCCTCTCTGGTCTCTCTCACCCCCTCTCTGGTCTCTCACCCCCTCTCTGGTCTCTCACCCCCTCTCTGGTCTCTCACTCCCTCTCTGGTCTCTCACTCCCTCTCTGGTCTCTCACTCCCTCTCTGGTCTCTCACTCCCTCTCTGGTCTCTCCTCTCCTCTCTGGTCTCTCACTCCCTCTCTGGTCTCTCACTCATTCTCTGGTCTCTCACTCCCTCTCTGGTCTCTCCTCCCTCTCTGGTCTCTTCCTCCCTCTCTGGTCTCTCTCCTCCCTCTCTGGTCTCTCACTCCCTCTCTGGTCTCTCACTCCCTCTCTGGTCTCTCACTCCCTCTCTGGTCTCTCACTCCCTCTCTGGTCTCTCACTCACTCTCTGGTCTCTCACTCACTCTCTGGTCTCTCACTCACTCTCTGGTCTCTCACTCCCTCTCTGGTCTCTCACTCATTCTCTGGTCTCTCACTCCCTCTCTGGTCTCTTCCTCCCTCTCTGGTCTCTCACTCCCTCTCTGGTCTCTCACTCCCTCTCTGGTCTCTCACTCACTCTCTGGTCTCTCACTCCCTCTCTGGTCTCTTCCTCCCTCTCTGGTCTCTCACTCCCTCTCTGGTCTCTCACTCCCTCTCTGGTCTCTCACTCCCTCTCTGGTCTCTCACTCACTCTCTGGTCTCTCACTCACTCTCTGGTCTCTCACTCCCTCTCTGGTCTCTCACTCATTCTCTGGTCTCTCACTCCCTCTCTGGTCTCTTCCTCCCTCTCTGGTCTCTCACTCCCTCTCTGGTCTCTCACTCACTCTCTGGTCTCTCACTCCCTCTCTGGTGCTGCCAGTTCTGTCACAAGTTTTAAATGTTTCCAAACAAGTTCATCAACAACAGAGGAACCGGTCTGAGTCTGAGCACTGAGAGAAACCACACGGTTCCACCAGAAAAGTACCATTACACTTTAGGATCTGGTACCGTATCCTGGCAACCTACCCACAACAAACCAATATCTGTATCTGAAATTCCTTGGTAACAATGGCGTCCAGCAACATCACTGTCAGTTAGAACACTTTAGTACCAGCTGGGCCTGGATAGAACCAGGACCAAGAGGGACTAAAGAAGGACATGGTACTGTTGCACAGGACCAGTGGAAACAGTTCTATACTATACACATGTAAGTATACACAGGAGTGCTTCCAGAGTCACAAACAGCAGCAGAAAGTCTCCGAACAACATTTTGGACCCGTTTCAGAACATGTATTTATATTTATCTCCTGTATCTCTGCTGCTGTCTCACGTGTCTGCTGCATAAACAGGATCAGGTTTAAGCTTCAGAGTCTGCTCACCTGGCTCGGCCCTGGTCCTGGTCCCGGTCCGGGTCCTCTCTCCTCCTGCAGGGGCCGCAGTGACGCTCACAGCCGCACAGCACAGCAGCAGCAGCGGGGACAGACGCACCATGTTCCCGCTGCGTCAGGTGTGTATGTGACATGTATGTGAAGTCTACGTAAGCAGGAAGTGCGGACAGGTCACATGACTTCAGATTGAAAGGGGGCGGGGCCAGGTTAAAGGTATTTATGAATCAATTTGTCTAAATCAGAAGAACTGGACTCATGTATGTGTGTGTCATTTACCAAAACCTTACCTCAACAAAATACTGATCTTGGGCCGCTCCCCCACTAGCTCAATGAAACCCAAAAGAGAACTGCTCATCGTGAAGTTTTGGCTCGTATTGACTTCCATTTGAAAGTAAACTCCTCTAGCTAAGTAATGTCTGTGTCACACTCTTTTCTTCATTTAGGGCTTAAATTTGTGTTTTCTCTATGATCCGGCTTTTTACATGTGATGCTGCCTTTGTAAATACAAATAAGAGCCATATAAGAACTGACCAATCAGAGGACTTCATTCAGGAAAAACTCCAGTTTGCCTTAGCAACACGTCTGCTTTACAGGGCTAAGCTAAGGCCATCAGAACAAATGCCTAAAAAGGAAACCGGCTCCAGCTTATGTTCAAATCAGCAGTTCACGCAGTAAACACATCAAATAGCACAGGAACATTTTAAATACTTTATTCAAACAGATCTTTACACATCAGTCAAGGGGGAAACAGATTATGGATCATGTTCCAGAGACCATGAAGGAACATCTGTCACTGTTCAAATGATGAGGTAAGGAACTCCTCTTCTGACCCTGATCAGAAGTCTCCATCCCCCCAATCTCTGGTCCCTGGAGCAGTGGTATGGGTGGAAATTGTGGATACATTTCTGTATCCTCCCTCTCTGGTCTCTCTCTCCCTCTCTGGTCTCTCTCTCCCTCTCTGGTCTCTCTCTCCCTCTCTGGTCTCTCTCTCCCTCTCTGGTCTCTCTCTCCCTCTCTGGTCTCTCTCTCCCTCTCTGGTCTCTCTCTCCCTCTCTGGTCTCTCTCTCCCTCTCTGGTCTCTCTCTCCCTCTCTGGTCTCTCTCTCCCTCTCTGGTCTCTCTCTCCCTCTCTGGTCTCTCTCTCCCTCTCTGGTCTCTCTCTCTCCCTCTCTGGTCTCTCTCTCCCTCTCTGGTCTCTCTCTCCCTCTCTGGTCTCTCTCCCTCTCTGGTCTCTCTCCCTCTCTGGTCTCTGGTTCATAGTACCACACTGTGCTCTGGTCCCTCACACGACATGCTCTCTGGTTCCACTGTGCTCCTGTCTTGCAGTGGCGCTGCGGTAAATACGGTCCCTGGTGCGTCAGTGAATATGGTCCCCACAAACACGTGAGTTCCCCACAGAGTGTGCCTCAGCACTCTGCAGCAGCCCAGGTCCTCCACACAGAAGCCCAGAGAGGAGTAACGATCGTCAGTCTCAAACAGAGTCATGTTGGTGTAGGGACCCAAGAACTGAGGAGAGAGGAGAGAGGAGGTGAGATGATGAGAGGAGGAGAGAGAGGAGGTGAGAGGGGGAAGTGAGGTGAGAGAGAGAGGCGAGAAGTGAAGCAGGGGAGGTAAGAGGAGGAGAGATACAGGGGAGAGAGAGAGAGAGGAGGAGGCAAGGTGAGAGAGAGAGAGGGGAGAAGAGGAGGAGGGGAGGTGAGAGGGGAAAGAGGAGGGGTAGGAGGAGAGGAGAAAGGAGAGGAGAGGAGGAAGGAAGTGAGGGGAAGAGGGCAGAGAGAGGAGAGAGGGGGCAGAGAGAGAGGAGAAAGGGAAACTAAGGAGAGGTCAGCCCTCACCTCCCTCCCTCCCTCCCTCCCTCCCTCACCGGCAAACCGCTGGAGGGGTCGATGAAGTCTGCCCAGAAGCCTCTCTCTCTCAGTTTCTCGCATACGTCGATCGCCCCCTGCACAAATGCCTCCAGCAGAGCCTCTCTCTCCTGCAGCACCTGGGCGTCCCAGCGGCTCATGTCCTGCAGGGTGCGCTGTGCTACAGTTACCACTGTGACAGGGGAGGGCGGGGCATCAGGGAACATCAGCCGCACATCTGTAAGAGAGAGAGAGAGGGAGAGAAGAGTGACAGGATCTGTACGCGGACCTCAAATTGATTTTGGATTCTCACCTGAGATCAGACGCTGAGGACAATTCTGTACCGCACACTCCACACACTCAGGGTCAAAGGGACTGAGGCCTCCGAGGTCCTAGAACCAGACCGGGTCAGACTAAAGCAGGACTAAAGCAGGACTAAAGCAGGACTAAAGCAGGACTAAAGCAGGACTAAAGCAGGACTAAAGCAGGACTAAAGCAGGACTCAGTACCTGTGCTGGCGTACAGCAGTCAGTAGGTGGTGCTGCTGTCAGAGCCTGCAGGTGGTGGTCCATGGTAGTGAGGGAGAGAGGATCCAGATGGAGGGTGTGGTTGACCAAGGGGGTGTGGTTGACCGAGGGGGTGTGGCCTCTGGACCAAACAGCAGAGGTCACTATAATAATTCATAAAAGAAAACAATGATCAAACAAACCCATGTGAGGAAATACAGACAAAAGACTGGGTTGAAGCTCTAGTCTCTATGGATGGGATGAACGACACTGGTGCGTCAGTGCCAAACCCCGTATGGGCTGCTATACGCAACGAAGAGGCGTGACATCATTTCCTGAAAACTTATATCTGTCTTTTTACTCCCGGTCTGTGCTATGGCCTTGTGGCGAGTTATAGTGAAATGTATTAGTAATTAGATCGATACATTCAGCTGTGAGACTGATCCAAAAGTATCTACGTTCCTTCTCTCTGAGGATTAGCTTTGACTGTGGCCACTAACGGCGGCACGGTGGCTGAGTGGATAGCACTCTCGCCTCTCAGCAAGAAGGTCCTGGGTTCGAATCCCGGTCGGACCAGGGCCTTTCTGAGTGGAGTTTGCATGTTCTCCCCGTGTCTGCGTAGGTTTCCTCCGGGTACTCCGGTTTCCCCTACCACTAAAAATATGTCCAATAGTTCTAGCATGCGCCTCCTGTACTGGCGACCGCGCTCCCATCTCTGTGTGGAGTGAGAGACTAATGCCCAAAAATTAACAATTGTAAACCGCTTTGAGACTCAGATCTGCAGTGAAAAGGCGGTATATAAATAAATACTTACTTACTTACTTACTTACTAAGAGTGATACGATAACTTTATGAAAGAAAAACGACAGCACAATCAAAGAGCACTGCTGGGTCCCAAAAATGCCCAGCATCCTAAAAGTTGAATTCCTGTTTTAGCATTATTATTATTATTATTATTTAGGAAACTTGTGTAAACATCTGGTGAACTCCATCTCAGCCACACTGAAACTCAAGCCGACCGTTGCGCACTGCAAGTCAAGTGTTGTTATAACTAAAAAGCGGAAGCGGCAAATGCATAGAGCTCATTGGCGCGTGTATCGCTTTAACGTGATCGATACAGTAACTGTCGTTTTGGAAGTGCCGAACTGTATCCACATGTTTTGCTGGCTCGTTAAAGAATTTGCTTTTACAACTCTGAAAATGTAGTTATGGATCTTCAAGAACGTTTTCTCAAGTCTGGAATGATTTTGATCTTTTGACGCCAAAAAAGGTCAATCTTTTCCTCTGTTGAGCATTGTTTACAGTAAGTTTTTAATCAAATGGTTCTATTTTGTGTTAAAAAAAAAAAATTTTTGCTCCACTCTGGAAACCCCTAGAAATGAAAGTTGAGGAGAATAGGTTGACCTCGAATACCACTGCAGACACCCTAGTTCAGGGGTGGCCAACCCGCGGCTCGTGAGCCGCATGCGGCTCTTTGGCTGGTTCCGTGCGGCTCTCGGGCTTTCACTCGACAAGCGTCAAAAACGCCTCGGTGGTGGCGCTGCCTTTCATTCCATATGTAGTTCTGACCAATAGTAAAGGCCGACTTCACTCCACTAGCCAGGCCGCCAAAACAATCTGACGTCGGCGAACGTCAATTCTGGTTGGTCGGATGCATTGTCAATCACTCTGCAGCTGCTACCTCAGCTGTAGCAAATATCATAACAAACAACACGTTGCCTCGAACCATGACGTCCGTACGGAAAAGAATTCCTTGGTCGCTGGATGAGGGCAACACCTTCCTCAGTTTGAGGAGAGGACACCAGCCTGATCTCGCTGGTTCCACCAGAAACCAGAAGGTGTTTGTGGAGCTAGCACTAAGGACGGAGCAGAATGATTCCCACAAACATGACAATGCAGAGAAAAGTTAAAAAGCTTAAAAGTGACAACCGTGAAATGAAAGATCGCAGCAGCAGAAGTAGAGGCAGACCCGAAAAGTCTGGAGGTGGTTTGACCAAATGGATTACATTTACGGACATCGGCTAACACCGGCTAACATGCTAAAACCAGCTAACAACAACTAGCATTACACCAGGAGATAAGCCAACTCTGCCTGGTGAGTGTCTGTCTTCAATCAAATGCAAAAGTATCTGGTCTTATACTGAGCATGTGTCTGTGGTTCTAAATCAGCTAAAGTGGTGTTGGTGTTATGTGTCAAATCTATATCTTTTACTAAAGACAGTTGTGTTTCTGCTGAACACTGGGTTGAAACTTGATTTTTTTTTCTTGGTTAGAGATTGCAAGCATTCATTTCGGAATCATAATTGATGTTCGCTGACGTGAAATTGTTCTGGTATCGACTCGCCCGGTTAGAACCAGAGCCAAACCATTAATGAAAAGTACCGGGGAGCGGCTGAAGCGAGCGGTGGAAGCGCCCGCAAACCGGGGAGAGTCGAGTCCAGCCCTTTAGTGCTGTACGAGTCAATTTCTGTCATTATCATGTTGATGACATTTACAATAAATCTGTCTGAGCAGAGCACACCTCTCTCTGCACAGACAGATTGCATGTGTGTGCGCGTGTCTGCTCGTGTGCGTACGTGCCCGTGTGCGTGCGTGTGTAAGGGTTGGGGTGATGTTTATGTAGTGCACATTTGTATGATGTGGCTCTTTGCTGTAATACAGTAAAAAAAATTGGCTCTTAGTCTCTGACTGGTTGGCCACCCCTGCCCTAGTTGAACTACTTGGCTGAAAGCACCACTCCCAGAACAAGACCATTAAATATTGGAAGATTAATCTCTGGCACTTAAAGTAGCAATATCATAAAATGGTCCTAATCTGTCAAACGGTATTAATAAACCCTCCACTTTTCGAATACTTAAAACTGAGTATATGAACATATAGTCGAGATATTTGAATTTCAAAATTAGTTTTAAAGCCCCTAAATCTTGTTATTGTTTGCATTTCGATATCCTGCCATTTTTACAATCAAAGTCCATGATCGGGGTTGCCAGAACTCACTGCGTTGAGCTAATCTCACTGGTAAAGAAACATGTGGCTGCAGTACTAAAGAAAAAAGTCACACCATCTTCATCTGTACCTTGTGAACGAGTCTTTTCTAGATTGTTTTATCCATGATCCTATATAATAGATCCTGTTTGATGTGTGCAACCTGAGTCTAATTTCTCCTTTTATTCTGCTGTAAAGTGCAACTATGACATTTAAATTTCCACTAAGGGACAAATAAAGGTTTATCTTATTAGTCAAATGACACAGGACTGAGAACTGAACCTCATAAAGATTATTAAGAGTATTAGCCAAACAGCAGCAGCAGCATCGGAGGCAGTAGTCGCACTTCTTTGTACCTTTATTGCAGACTGTTGTCGATGCTGTAGTTGAAATCCTTGTTGTCGCCACTCGATGAAGAAGAGACTTTATACCAGAGACGTAACAGACCAGTCTGCAGCCAGAGACCTGCAGAGACCAGAACCAAGACTAAATCAGGTCAGAAAAACAGGACTGAAGCAGCCAGAGTTACCCAATGGTGAATGAGTAGATAGCACTTACACTCGTCATCTTTGCTTTTCTTCGTTGACCTCAGTTCAAATCTATAAAATATAAGTGACATTACTTCTCTTTAGAGCAGATGTTTCCCCAGATATTCAGTCTTATGGTTTATCCCTCGTTTCAATCATTTCGCACTTTTACATTTGCAACGTTTATCAGAACAATCACACCTGGAACTATTGTCAACAAGCAGGTGAATGTGACCTGTTAGCATGTTAGCATGTTAGCTTCACCTGCTTCAGCCCTGGTCGAGACACACGAGCGGTCTGTCCCCGTGGCAGGGAGAGGACAGAGACCTGAGCACAATTAAGCACAATAAGAATACTTTAAAACACGTTTAAACACTTTAAAAGCGGATGGGAGACAGCAGCAGAGGTCGCGACTCGCTTCTCATAACAACTGCTGCTCAGGCGCAGATTTTCCACAACGTAGTTCTGTCAGGCAATTCTGCACATTATTTATCAATTTAAACTAACCAACACTAACTATATACCGGGCGTTCCACATTAAAAAACAAAAATATACAATGTTAGGAATAAATGTTTGTATTTTATTTTTAACTTTAGAGATTCGAAAGCGCAGAACTGAGTTGGGGAAAAAGTGAATCCAACGTTTGTTTTGGTCCCGTCTCTTCTTCGGTGTTTTCGGGTTGTTTTCCGGTAGTTTGGTGTAAAGATGTCAGCGGCGGAGGACGACACGGAGCTGCGGGACCTGCTGCTTCAGAACCTGGAGAACAGTGGCGTCCTGAGCCGCCTGAAGGTCCGAGAGAGTGGGGTTCAATCGGAGAGCTAACGGGGGAGCTAACACGATCTCAGGAGCTATAACAGCTATTAGAGCTCACAAACTCTCAGCTTCAGAGAGAGAGACCATATACTATGTGCTTTATCATATTCTGTTATGACCACCGGAATGAACTTATGTTTGTGAAGATCGGGAGCTAGTTAATGCTAAGTTTATTTAGCTAGCTATGTATTTATTTAATTATTTACTTGAGCACAAACGGAATGGGCTAAATCAAAAAAGGTTATGAGCACCCCACACCAACAAACTCTGTAGTTTAGTCCTGGTCGTTAAGATGGCCTCTATTAGAATAGAATAGAACTTTATTCTTTGTTTAATTGAGCAGAAATGTGTCTTTCAACACGGCACATTTAAAGGTAACTAATTCATTAAAACACAATTTCAAAGGGTCTTTGAGGAGCTGAGCTGGGATTGGGTCAAAAATGCAAAGGTTTTAGACTGAGGATGTAACCAGATGTATTTAAGAGCGCAGGGAAAGCCATGACCTGGTCCATACCAGGTGGTTAGAGGGAGTGGTCAGAGCTTGTGCTTCACAGCAACAAAGTCCTGGGTTTGATTCCACCTCCAGGCCTTTATGTGTGGAGTTTGCATATTCTCCCTGTGTCTGCTCCAGTTTCCTCCTGGTGCTCTGGTTTTGTGTGTGAGTGTGTGTTTGTTAGTTGAAGCTTCTTTATCACTGATTTTCTGCTATAGGCGCAGATGAGAGCAGCTGTATTCTTTGCCATGGAAGAGCAGGACCGACTTGAGGTTAGGGAACACAACTCTACACTGTTAGTTATCGTTAGGTCAAATAAATAACATGTTTTTGATTCTAGAACAAAACCCCTCTGGTCAATGAGAAGCTGAAGACCTGTCTCAACACTCGAGAAGGTAAACACAGGTGTAATGTGAGGGGTGTCACACAGGTGTAATGTGAGGTCTGTAACACAGGTGTAATGTGAGGTCTGTAACACAGGTGTAATGTGAGGTCTGTAACACAGGTGTAATGTGAGGTCTGTAACACAGGTGTAATGTGAGGTCTGTAACACAGGTGTAATGTGAGGTCTGTAACACAGGTGTAATGTGAGGTCTGTAACACAGGTGTAATGTGAGGTCTGCAACACAGGTGTAATGTGAGGTCTGTAACACAGGTCTAATGTGAGGTCAGTAACACAGGTGTAATGTGAGGTCTGTAACACAGGTGTAATGTGAGGCCTGTAACACAGGTGTAATGTGAGGCCTGTAACACAGGTGTAATGTGAGGCCTGTAACACAGGTGTAATGTGAGGTCTTATACAGGTGTAACACAGGTGTAATGTGGGGTCTGTAACACAGGTGTAATGTGGGGTCTTATACAGGTGTAACACAGGTGTAGTGATGTCTCTCCTGCTTTAGGTCGTGTGGTTGCAGCTCTCGTCCTGGACTTTCTGCAGGTCTTTGATCTGGACTTCACTCAGTCTGTGTTTGAGGCAGAGGCCCACACTGTGAGTATATATATGTACAATGTGTGCAATTTTATATATTTTTTCTCTGTAAGATCTCTCTCTCTCTGGTCTCTCTCTGGCCTCTCTATGGTCTCTCTCTGGTCTCTCTATGGTCTCTCTCTGGTCTCTCTTTCAGTACTCCTCTGTCTCTGTTTCAGAAGCATTTAGAGTCCAGAGAACTGCTCTGCAAAAATCTCGACCTGGACCCAGAACCAAAGAGTCCGGTTCTACTGGAGCTGGTCCAGAGGCAGACCAAGAACTGGACAAAAGACCGAACCAAAGACCAGACCAGAGCCCAGACCAGAGCCCAGACCAGAGACCAGACCAGAGACCAGACCAGAGACCAGACCAGAGACCAGACCAGAGACCAGACCAGAGACCAGACCAGAGACCAGACCAGAGACCAGACCAGAGACCAGACCAGAGACCAGACCAGAGACCAGACCAGAGACCAGACCAGAGACCAGACCGGCCGCAGAGCCGAGGTAAGTCCACATGTTCTGAGTCCATGAACCTGGTTCGTTAGATACTTTGATGATCACATGGTTTGTCCCCACAGAACTCTGAGGAACATGGAGACACTGTTCTGAAGAAGGTCTCGGGTCCAGATCCGGTCCCACAGCTGAGCCAGATCCTGGACCCTCAGGAGGACTTGGACGATGTTGACGATGGAGACTCCTTCTTTGATGATCCTCTTCCAGCGCCTCAGAAAACATATGGCTGGTGAGTCTCAATCCGGGTCCAGACCGGGTCTGGGCCTGGAGTGGTCCTTATATACATGATATCTGTAATACAGCTCAGTATTGGCTGAACTCACTCAAATGGTCCCATCTTTGGTCCAGTCTTAGTCCTGATCTGGTCCTAGTCCTGGTCTGTTCCCAGTCCTAGCCCTGGTCTGGTCCCAGTCCTAGTCTTGGTCTGGTCCCAGTCCTAGTCTTGGTCTGGTCCCAGTCCTTGTCCTGGTCTAGTCCCAGTCCTAGTCCTGATTTTCCTCTGCCCTCAGCTCTGCAGACTCTGCTCCAGGTCTGGTTTTGAGGCGGGACAAAAGTTTGAACGAGTGAGTCTCGTCCAATCACGTTCCTGCTTTGAGACGCCACTCCACAGATCTAACCTCCTGCTCTGTCCTCTGTCCTTGTCTCCTCTGTCCTTGTCTCCTCTGTCCTTGTCTCCTCTGTCCTTGTCTCCTCTGTCCTTGTCTCCTCTGTCCTTGTCTCCTCTGTCCTAGCCTCTCAGCCCTGGGATCTTCAGAGCTCAGGTGAGGTTCTTTTCCACAGTCTGTAAGAGCAACACAACATCAGAGAGACACACACACACACACACACACACACACACTCAGGACCCTGTTGTTGTGAGGCTCTTGTTCAGTCTGTGCTTTTCCCTCTGTCCCTTTGTTCTTCTGGTCCAGACTTGGTCCAGACCCAAATCAGACTCGGTCCAGACCTGGTCTAGACTCATACCTGTTCTGTTACAGGAAACCTGAGAGTCCAGTGCCTTCTCTGTCTTTGGGACACAGCTCCTCAGACCATTCTGCACACTCAGGTCAGTATGGAGACCTGGTCCAGACCTGGTCCTGTCCTGGTCCAGACCTAGTACTGTCCTGGTCCAGACCTGGTCCAGACCTGGTTCTTTCTATTGCAGGTTCTAAATCCAAAGGAGTACATGTGTCCAAACGTGTGAGTGACAGAAGTGGAACTCGTCGAGGTGAGAGGGTGATATTATACAAATTGTATACAGTCTTTGTATAATTTGAAGTTTTATAATATATACTCAATATAAAATCTGTATGTCAAACATATCTGGATAATGGTTATAAGGGTAATAGCAGGGTATAATAAGTGTAATAAGGGTGTAATAGCATTTCTTTCACTTGTATAACCCTACATCTTTCTCCATATGGGGGAAGAGGGTGAGGACGATGTTGTTCACAGATGTTGTTTACTTGTTTACAGATGAGGAGGTTGAGTACGATGATGACTTCAACAGGTGAGTGACAGCATTTAGCTAACAGGTTAGCATTTGGCTTTCTCCAAGCGGGTTTTCATTCTCCTAGCGGGTTAGCATTCCCCTAGTGGATTAGCATTCTCCTAGTGGGTTTTCATTCTCCTAGCGGGTTAGCATTCCCCTAGTGGATTAGCATTCTCCTAGTGGGTTAGCATTCCCCTAGTGGGTTAGCATTCCCCTAGTGGGTTAGCATTCCCCCTAGTGGATTAGCATTCCCCTAGCGGGTTAGCATTCCCCTAGCGGGTTAGTCTTGTCCTTCTGCAGTCTATGCCAGGGGAGTCAGCCCCTGTGAGGACAGTCTGTGCTCTAATCTAAACTGTGACCTCTGACCTCTGACTTGTATCTGATGCTATTATCTTGATCATGTTCAGCACTTTAATTTGCCTTGTGAATGAATTGTCCTATACAAATAAACTTGCCTTTTCTTGCCTCCTGAGCAGTGAGCTGAGTGTGGGGGAGGAGATCGAGGAGGTGTCCATGGGGGAGGAGTCCATCCAGGGCCCCAGCGACAAGGTGCTTCACTACATCTGTGTTTATGTAGCAGTCTGTGAGTCTAAGCGCTCCCTCACCACAGCAGGGTCCTCCCTCACCACCACAGGGTCCTCCCTCACAACCACAGGGTCCTCCCTCACCACCACAGGGTTCTCCCTCACCACCACAGGGTCCTCCCTCACCACCACAGGGTTCTCCCTCACCACCACAGGGTTCTCCCTCACCACCACAGGGTCCTCCCTCACCACCACAGGGTTCTCCCTCACCACCACAGGGTCCTCCCTCACTTCCACAGGGTCGTCCCTCACCACCATAGGGTCGTCCCTCACCATCACAGGGTCCTCCCTCACTACATCAGGGGCCTTCCCTCACAGCAGGGTCCTCTCTCACCACCACAGGGTCCTCTCTCACCACCACAGGGTCCTCCCTCACCACCACAGGGTTCTCCCTCACCACCACAGGGTTCTCCGTCACCACCACAGGGTCCTCCCTCACCACCACAGGGTCCTCCCTCACTTCCACAGGGTCGTCCCTCACCACCATAGGGTCGTCCCTCACCATCACAGGGTCCTCCCTCACTACATCAGGGGCCTTCCCTCACAGCAGGGTCCTCTCTCACCACCACAGGGTCCTCTCTCACCACCACAGGGTCCTCCCTCACCATCACAGGGTCCTCCCTCACCATCACAGGGTCCTCCCTCACCACCACAGACCACAGGGTCCTCCCTCACCACATCAGGGTCTTCCCTCACAGCAGGGTCGTCCCTCACCACCACAGGGTCCTCCTTCACCACATCAGGGTCTTCCCTCACAGCAGGGTCGTCCCTCACCACCACAGGGTCCTCCCTCACCACATCAGGGTCTTCCCTCACAGCAGGGTCCTCCCTCACCACCACAGGGTCCTCCCTCACCACATCAGGGTCTTCCCTCACAGCAGGGTCGTCCCTCACCACCACAGGGTCCTCCTTCACCACATCAGGGTACTCCCTGTGTGATGCAAATGTCAGACCAGAGGGGGCGCTCTGAGACAGGAGACATTTATCAGTCAATCTAGAAGTTTATATCAAAGACACAGAGACACACGCGAAGACACAGACCAGTGACCTCAAAAATGTACAAAAAGATGTGCGCTGACATACTTGCATTACCACCCCAGGCCAGTGGGGGTGGACTCGTAATAATGGGGCGTTCAGACCACCAACGCTGGAATGCAGTTTCCGCGCGCACTAGGTGCACATTCTCTAAATTTCAGACCAGAAGTCCTGGGCTGCGGTGGCGCCCGGCGGAAGTAGCAGAAGTGTTTTAATGCTAACGGAGTTAAACGAGCAGCTTTTTGTGTAAAATTCTTCTTCAAGAATGCAGCTGCAGCGTCTCCAGAGACCTTCCAGAGACTTTATATAACCGCAGTATGTTTTCACGGAGGTGCGCCATACGGTATTTCCGCATCGGGGAACATGCTAGCTGTGCTAGTTAACAGTCACTGGAGAATGACAACTCGGGCTGGAGGCATGTTCACAAGCACAGAGTCCCCCATTGTCAACCCTGGTTTAGTCCTGGTTTAGCTCCTGTTTTTGCTGTACCCGTGACCACTTTGCACTCGTTAAAGTGGTTCTCACCCCCGCTCCTCGGAACTTACGTCACTCACATTTCCTGTTCAAATCTTCCTCTAAATGGGCGTAGCCTGGAGGACTAAAGGGGGCGTGAACGAGACTGGGCCGTTTACATTGCTCTGGGCGGGGGGCTGCTGACGTCAGGTCTTGCTTCAGACGTCAGGTCTTGCTGCTGCGCCAGTGTTGGCGCCAGATTCAAAATTCAAATGTAGTAATACAGGTCGCCAGCAGATGGCGCCTCACAGACGGTTTTAGGCAGAAAGTTTAACTTTCAACTAATTTGCACCAAAGTGACAAAATTATGACCAGGATATGTAGACAACACTATTGGACACTCATTTATACCGTTTATCAGCAAAAAAAAAGTGGATTTGAGGGTGAGTTGTCCTTTAAATGAATGGGGCTCATGCAGCTGACTCATGCACAAATGTGTTTTTTCACATTTTCCTGCCCTTGTGGCCATTTTTAAAAGCCCCATAGACGCCGAAAGTGGTGGCACATTAGTTTGAACGGTGGAGAATAAGGTGGAGAATACGTCCGTTAATATTTACAGTCTATTACATAGACACACACACACAGAGACACACACACACACAGAGACACACTTGACTTTTATTTCTTTTTTCTTCAGTTTGACAATTCGACGCTGGACCTCAGTGTTTCTCAGCTCAGCCACACTGGAGACTACATGGAAGAAGTCCCCTAGACCAAGACTAGGCTAAGGACTGGACCAAAACCAGGACTGGACCAGTACTAGGATTGGACCAGGACTGGACCAGGACCGAGGCTGGGCCAGGACTGGACCTGGTCTGGACTGTGTCAGTAAATGTCTGTAAATACTGTACTGGGGTTTTTTCTTTTGTAATTTATAATAAAATGTGCCTCTAATATGGAGTGTTGAGTCTTGATGTTAAAGCTGAGGTGTGTGAGTTCAGCTCAGCGATGTGGTGAGACAGAGTGGAGCGTGTGGAGAACATGCAAACTGCCTAGCGATCAGGATCTGAGCCCAGGTCTTTGCTGAGAGACGAGAGCTCGCTCTGTTTCAGAGAGGAAACTGCACAGAGACTGAGAGGAGCCACGGTGAGACACACACACCTGCTGTAGACCTGCTTTAGACCTGCTTTAGACCTGATTTAGTCCTGCCTTAGTCCTGCTTTAGACCTGCTTTAGTCCGGCTTTAGTCCTGCTTTACACCTACTTTAGTCCTGCTATAGACCTGCTCATGACCTGCTTTAGTCCGGCTTTAGACCTGCTTTAGACCTGCTTTAGTCCGGCTTTAGTCCTGCTTTACACCTACTTTAGTCCTGCTATAGACCTGCTCATGACCTGCTTTAGTCCGGCTTTAGACCTGCTTTAGACCTGCTTTAGTCCTGCTTTAGACCTGCTTTAGTCCTGCTTTAGACCTGCTTTAGACCTGCTTTAGTCCTGCTTTAGACCTGCTTTAGACCTGCTGTTACCCATTTTGGTAACACAGATTTAAACTCCTGATGAAGTTAATTTAATTCAGCAAATATTTCAATATTTTGTTCAAGAATTCAAGTACAGGATTGAACTGGACCAGACCTGGCTCAGACCTGGCTCAGACCTGGCTCAGACCTGGTTCAGAGGAAGTCTTTCAGAGGAACTATGTTTTGTTCTCCTTATAGTTTAATTAATACTTTTGTTCCGCTTTGGTTGCAGCAGCAGCAGCAGCAGCAGCAGCAGCAGCAGCAGCAGTTCTGCTTAATTACCCGACATGTTTTGGCGGTAGACAATAGCATCATAAAGCTACATCATAAGTGGAAACACATGACATTGAAATCATTTTTATGTTTATGAAGTCACTTTACAACACTGTGCCCTGTGGCCCTCAGATGGACCTGATCGGTTCTCTGAATCAGACCCTGGACCCCATGGAAGACATGTACGATGAGAACTACGGCGACTCGTTTGAGAGACCGTGTGAGCAGATACCGGATCTGGACCTGGTTTTGGGTCCGTACGTCCACTCTGTCATGTGTGTCCTGGGACTGATGGGGAACTTACTGATGCTGCTGACCCTCAAGTGCTCCAAGTCCGAGACCAGCTCCACCCAGGTCAGTCCAGAGCCAGGTCCAGTGTCAGGTCCAGTGTCAGGTCCAGAGCCAGGTCCAGAGCCAGGTCCAGAGCCAGGTCCAGAGCCGACTCCAGACCCAGACACAGGTTCAGGCCTCTCTCTCTGGTCTCTCGCTCTGGTTTCTCTCTTGTCTCTTTATTTTCTGTTGTAGATTTTGCTGGTAAACTTGGCCGTCGCCGACCTACTCCTCGCCCTGGTGTTACCACTGCTGGTTGCCATGGAGATGGAGGCGTGGCCTCAGGGGGCGGGGCTTGGCTCAGTGGCCTGTAAGCTTCTCCGAGGAGGCTACAGTGTGAGCCTTTATGTCGCCGCCCTGCTGTTGGCGGCGGTGAGTGTGGATCGCTACGGCGCCGTGGTGCACGCTCGCTCACGTGCACACTCACGTGCACGTTTGCGTCTCCGCAAACTCACCGCCGCCCTCGTGTGGACGTGTGCGCTCACACTCAGTCTGCCCAACTTCATCTACAATGAGCGCTACACACCGCAGCACCATCAGAGGGAGGAGCAAGCCTTGCAAGGGGGAGGAGCCGGACTGCAGGTGAGACCATATATGGATGTGGCGGCCTTCTTGTGCATCTTCTCCAGCATTAGTCACAATTAGCATAACAGTGTTCCCTCATGACAGGGAACACTAAGTGCTAAGTGTCTTGCCAAGGACACAACGACAGCAGACAGTCAGTGGGAATCGGTGGAGTAAAGTCTTGTTGTGGGCTTGGTTCAGATTCGGTCCAGACTCGGTTCAGACTCGGTTCACACTCATGTTGCTTAAGTTACTAAAGTGTTTGTTTGTCCTCAGCCCTCCCACCCTCCCACCCTTCCCCCTGGCCCCGCCTCTCCCCCTGACCCCGCCCCTCCCCCTGGCCCCGTCCCACTCATCTGCGACTTCAAGTTTGGCCACGCCCACACGGCCCGCTCGGTGAAGGTGCTGGTGCCGGTGCTGCAGATGTCGGTGGGCTTCCTGCTCCCCCTCGTGGTCATTTGCTTCTGCTATGGAGCCATCGTGGTGACACTGCTGAGGGGGCGGGGCCATAGGGGGCGGGGCTTCAGGAGAGAACGTGCCGTACGTCTAGTCCTGATGGTGGTGCTCGTGTTCGTGTTGTGCCACGCCCCCTTTAACCTGACGCTATTGTTGAAGACGGTGACACAGTTTAGGACAATTGACTGTGAGGTGTGTGTCTTTGTGTGTGTCTGTGTGTGTGTGTGTGTGTGTGTGTGTGTCTCTCATTCAAAGCTCAGAGATCTTCTTTGTGTGTGTGTGTGTGTGTGTGTAATAATATTGTGTGTCTCTTACAGAGCTCAAAGATGATCCACTCTGCTCTCTCTCTGGCTCAGACTCTCGCGCTGCTTCACTGTGTGTTGAACCCACTGCTCTACGGTTTTAACTCCGCCCCCTTCAGGAAGCGATTCTGTCAGCTGCTGGACAAGCTCCGCCCACAGAGACACCTGTCCTTCAACAGCCAATCAGAGCGCACTACACAGAGACACCTGTCCTCCAGCAGCCAATCAGAGCGCACCACACAGAGGCACCTGTCCTCCAGCAGCCAATAAGAACTGAACGACCACAGCTATATAAGGACTTACAGGGTCCAGGCTAAAGCTAATGCTAATGCTGTTGCTAATACTGAAGCTAATGCTGGATATATATGAATATGGAGTTTGTACTTCACTGCTCATTCTGTGCGTATGTTTTCCTCTCGGTCCTGTATGTGCGCTGCAACACTGACATTTCCCTGTGGGAGGAATAAAGACTCTTTTCTCTTAAAGTGTTTTTGTTAAATAGTGAAGCCTGCGATAACAGAGGGGGAGGGGAGGGGGGGGGGGGCTTTTCTTCAGCAGGGACAGTTCACAAACACTCATCTGAGCTAAAACAGGACCAAAGCAGGTCTAATGTAGGACTAAAGCAGAACTAAAGGTCTAAAGCAGGTCAAATGTAGAACTAAAGCAGGTCTAATGTAGGGCTAAAGCAGGTCAAATGTAGGACTAAAGCAGGTCAAATGTAGGACTAAAGCAGGTCTAATGTAGGACTAAAGCAGGTCTAATGTAGGGCTAAAGCAGGTCAAATGTAGGACTAAAGCAGGTCTAATGTAGGACTAAAGCAGGTCTAATGTAGGGCTAAAGCAGGTCAAATGTAGGACTAAAGCAGGTCTAATGTAGGGCTAAAGCAGGTCTAATGTAGGACTAAAGCAGGTCTAATGTAGGACTAAAGCAGGTCTAATGTAGGGCTAAAGCAGGTCTAATGTAGGACTAAAGCAGGTCTAATGTAGGACTAAAGCAGGTCTAATGTAGGACTAAAGCAGGTCTAATGTAGGACTAAAGCAGGTCTAATGTAGGCTAAAGCAGGTCTAATGTAGGGCTAAAGCAGGTCTAATGTAGGACTAAAGCAGGTCTAATGTAGGACTAAAGCAGGTCTAATGTAGGGCTAAAGCAGGTCTAATGTAGGACTAAAGCAGGTCTAATGTAGGGCTAAAGCAGGTCTAATGTAGGGCTAAAGCAGGTCAAATGTAGGACTAAAGCAGGTCTAATGTAGGGCTAAAGCAGGTCTAATGTAGGACTAAAGCAGGTCAAATGTAGGACTAAAGCTTTATGGGGGATGATTGGAAAGCACTCTCGCTTCTCAGCAAGAAGGTCCTGGGTTCGAATCCCGTTTGGAACAGGGTCTTTCTGAGCGGAATTTGCATGTTCTCTCTGTGTCTGCGTAGGTTACCTCCGGGCGCTCCGGTTTCCCCTACCACTAAAAACATCTACATGGTAATTACAAACAACAGACCAATCTCAAACCTTCATTTTATCAAAAATTCCTGAAAAGCTTATTGCTAAACAACTGTGCTGCCACCTGCAGGAACATAATATACTTGAAGTCTTTCAATCAGAGCTATCGTTTAACACATTACACTATGTTTGGTGTAATGTTAGTGTTGGTTTGTTATCATGGACTGAAACTGCACTAAAGTCACTGTCAGGATGAAGCAGACAGAGACGGATCGTGGTGCGCCAAACTCTGGAAGTTTATTTAAGTTTCTCTCAAGTTCCACTGGTTTACTCTGTTTCTTTCTCTCAGACAGAATAAAGGCAGTACACAGTTTATATAGTCATTGTCACGTCACACATGGAAAGACATACGTGTCACAAAGAGACAGTCACATCATAGTCATAACATGGAGTCCTTGTAGAGTCCTTGTACAGTTCTGCAAGTAGGCCATATTGCTATCTAATACTAATACCCTCCCCTTTGATCACATAATCACATGTGATCACTCAAATCGATCAATCAATAAAGTGGAAAAAGAAAAAGAAAAAATCCAAAAAAACACTTTAAAAAAAATATTAAAAACAAAGAAAATGTATGCATTAAACTCATAATCATCAAATCAATATCAGTGGATTTTATCCTCTATCCTGGGAAAAAACTAACAAACAAATAAACAAACAAAAACAAATCAAAAATAAAAACAAACAAACACTATTGGACACACAAGAACTCAGCAGATTCAGTCAAAACACAGACAAAAACGAGCTGAGTCTCAAATTAGAAGCTAATTTCACTTTTCTTACTCTATACTTTTATTCTAATGATAATTGTTTACACTACACTCCACTGTATTGTTTTCACTTTTCAATCTTAGACTGTGTACTTTACTTTCATGATTCACTATAGTTTAAAACTATTCTAATCTATTTACAAATATGTTTGCATATTTGCTTCTATTGAGCCATATTCTTAAACATACATTTTAATCTAATAAATCTCTCTGTAGTGTGGTTTACTTTCATTATCAGTGGCTTATTATCAGTGGGATTTTGCTCCATGTCTATTCTCATTCTCAGGAATAAAACTGAACACAGAAAGACAAATGGTTCATATGAACATTATTATGGCGGTCAGTTTTCCAAATACATTTGTTGAACCAGGAAGTGCTGTCACTTCCTCCTTTCAGGCAGTTTGGGATGAATGTAAATCATTAATCAAATTAGTATTATCCTTACAAGAGCTAATCTATTTGAGCAGGTTTGGGGTTGGGGTCTACAATGGTGTTTGATTCTCTAATCTGTGCTGGAAACTTCTCAATATCTAAATATCTACTATTTTGTTTTTGTGCTATACACAAATACATCAAAATGCTTTTAAATGCTTTTGAATCTCTGTTGGTTGTAATCTATCTCATTAATCTAGGCTTTAATCTAGGCTACACTCATGAACCTTTTGCATTGTCAACATTCACCAATGTTTGAACACAAGTGAATTTGGCAAGTATCTAATAAACTGTACATAAACTGTAATGAACTTTATCTATTTTTGAAGTAAATGTTTGTGAAATGGTCCTTTTACCATTTGATATTAGCACTGGCTACAAAATAATCTCTTTTTTTGAAAGCATCTATGGTTGATGCATTTATCTATTCCTATTTTTACTCTATTGTGACTCTAAAGCTCGGCTGCAGCTTGAGCAAAGGCATATTTCTAATCTGTGACTTCTGTCACTTTTAATGGCTGTAACATTATTCTGATTCTAATATTCTAGCTGATCTATCAAAAGGATAACATTGTATGGTACTATTTTAACTCTTACGTGGAAATATGTTTATGAACAACAAAGGAAATTGAATTCTACTTTTTTACTACTTTTTAACATCTACTAAAACGCTACAATACCCATACGTTATCATTTTAAAACATTTTAACAGTTGCTCAGTCTACCAGACTAAAAAGTCAAAGTTTTTGTCTGTCAGATGTCTGAATACTTAACATGTATATGTATTTGGTCACAGGTTCTGGTTGTAGCAATAGCATCGGCAATAGACGATTTTCATTGGTTGGTTCTTGTTCTGCAAATGGCTGTGTCCAATAGATCATCAGATGTCCAGAAGCTAGGGACAAACAAAAACAAAAGAAAGAATCATGAGTATCTGTCTCATTTAGCACTCATCAATGTATGATTTTAAAAATATAAACATCACTCCCCAGTTTTTATCTCTCAGGTCTTCAGGTCCTCAGGTCGTCAGGTCCTCTGAGGGTGAGTCTCAGTCGTCATCAGGTCAGGTCATATTTCGAGAGATGCCATCTTGGACATCAGTAGGGTCCAAGCCATGGTTCTGGTCTCTCCAGATGCACATCAGGATCTCCAGATACAGTCTTTTCACTTGAAGCACATCAGGTCATTTGCGATGCACTTCTGGTCAATGGTGCAGTGTCTCAGTTCCTGTACACAGCTTGTTATGCAGTAGTTACTCTCTATGGTTAAGACATTTTAATTCTACTTTAACACAATTTCTATTCATGCTGTTGCTAATGTCCCTCTGACAAAAGCAAGCGCAATGATTCAGTTTACTTCTCTAATTTGTGTTTTTATCAGCTCTAATTCTAATCAATGTAATTACTTCACACAGTACAAAATCAACAAATCAAAAGTGTCAGGACAGACATCAATTAAGTCCATGACAATATAGAATTCAAATGGACATTTCTGGTCTCAAAAAATACTGATTCAAATGATAGACAATTAAAAATATGTGTTTACATTGGAGTAAACTTTTAAAATGCTTTTTTCTCATGTTCTGCTTTTTCATGTATCTATATGTAAATGTGAATGTGTGAGTGTATGTATGTGTGTATGTGTGTGTGTGTGTGTAGAGTGTGAATTTTGGGGTTGTGTCTCCAGACTCCTCGAACCACCTGTAGGTGTCAAAGGTCACACTGGCTCGATGTAAACAAGCAAAGTGGGCACACTTCCAGATTGCAAAACAACTCACCCACCACTGCCTACAGAAAACCCCACTTTGTGGCCCCGGTCTCACTGCCACCTACGACCATCGGTCTGTAGTGGGGGAGGGGCACACGGAGGTAGCTATGTCGCCTTTACGATCTGCGGCTGGTTGGATGGTGTCTACTCTGGGCCACTGTTCTGATCCCTCAGTGTCCACTCCTGCTGTCCAGTGGCCCCTGTACAGTGTGTGCCCTTGGTCCTGGAACACAACCTTATAGTCAAATTAAAAACAACAAAGATTGTGAATGAGATTGTTTTTCTCTCTAAAGTCAAAACAATTTTGGAGCGCTCTTGGCTTTCCAAGCGCTATGTAAATAAAGATTACTTATTATCTTACTGATGACACTTTTTTTTTTTTTGAACTTTATTGTGATGACACACAAAAAACAGAACATGAACATTGTCCTGAGACTGGGCTTAATAAATCATTCACTCATAAAAAATAAATAAAAAGGGCCTAGATTAATGTCCTATTTAAGAAAGGTAATCAGAGGAGCCCATCTTCTTTCGAATATGTGGTTCTTTAGTTGCAGTTGTGCTGTCAATCGTTCCATCAAATAAACCTGTCTTGTCCTTTGTATCCATTGTGTAATTGTTGGCGGCTCAGGTTTTAACCAACAAATTGTTATCATTTTCCTTGCTGTCATTAAGAGTAGATGAAGAAGAAATCTTTGGTCAGGGGTCAGATGATCTGGAAAGATGTCCAATAAAAATATTTGGGAGTCCAAAGAAATGCTCACTTTTAGTACATCTTCCAAAACGTCCTTAATGTTCCTCCAAAAGTTA